GTCTCGTTAATAATAACTGAAGCCTAGAGAGTAAATCTAGTCATGGAGATGAGATCAACAAGAATTTCAGAGCTAAAGCAGAACCATGAACTGAGCATTATGTGGAGGTTGCTTAATGCCATTGACTCCTGCCAAGATCAAACCTGCGGCAAGCTGATTTCAAACGGGAGGCCCTCGAGCAAGCAAATTACCGGTACAAATATAATCTACTTAGATTTGTTCTCCAGTGTTTGTAATCTTAGCATAGTGTGTGAAAGCAAAACTTAAGTGAGTTTTTCATGGAAGAGAAAAGGAATTAAAAACACAAATGTGTTCATATCTTGATTGATGACTGCTGGTTTATTATGGGTCAAGTTGTTAGGTGATACTATAAATAAACAGCCTATGAGTGGTTGACTGTCTGTACAGGAACCGGTTGGTTTAAGGCCATAAATGTTTCATTATCTTGTGAGCCCCTTAAAATATTTTACCCTGTTCCTAGTAAAAGATGAGCTCAAACTTTTAGTTCATGAAGCTGCAACAGTTTCGTATTAGCCATAAATTGTGATCTTGAATCTATTTCAACAGCTCGTCCAAGAAAGATTGACCAGCTCACGAGCTTTGATGAAGAATGCCGAAGAATTCAAGTAAGCTGTCATTTTTACATTCAACCATAATTTTTTTTTTACTGGTTAATAATGGTAGCCTTGCTAGTTTCCTGGAGTGTGTTCGCTGAATATTTTCTTTGTGATGTTATCGCAAAATTTACAATTCCCGTGTCGTTTGAATACTAATATATGATTTACTTTAGAATCAGAATGAAGTAGAATTGGGAAATGTCAAGGCTGATGATGAATATATGCCCTCTGAGACATACGAGGCAATATATCAGATAATCGAACAGCACCAATGTGAAAAAATCGATCATCAACTTATCGACCTTCTCTTGAAGGCTCAGAATAGAGCAAAAGAGAAGAGCCATAAAGCGCACCACTTATCTTCGTGTTATTTAAGTGATGCGGCTAACTTATTCCATCAGCTGCTTCCAACTTCATCTAATATATCTCTAGACAATGTTACGTTAGCTGCAATTTTAAGGACGGTCTGTGTTCATAATCAGCAGGAAGAGAGTATTCACACAAGCGCAAAAGCTTTTGTTGATCGGATGTTTATTCACAGAAAGCTCATCTCGAAAGGCATGGTTTATCCTCGGTCCAAGTCCTCGTCTAATGAATTTGGAATTCCGGATTCAGATAAGGACCTGTTTGGGGGGCTCTTTCTGGAAACAGAATCTCTCTTACAAAGGCCCTTCAAGAATTCTAAATATCCTCGAATAGAAAAACAAACACTTAAGTCTGTCTTGGATGGAAAAGAACTCGAGGGCCTCGACTCGACTAGTAGTTCAGAAAATCCCGGAAGTGTATTTATCGCTAGAAATGGGAAAATGGGCACGAATTCACAGTCAAAGTCCACGAAAACAAATTTTGTAGAACAGCCTTCGGACAGAATAGTGATACTAAAGCCAGCGCCTCAAAAATCAGCAAAACAATCGGAAAATGTGAACTGCCATTGCTCATCATTGCAGGCTCATAAAAAGTTCGGTAATTTTCCGGATGCGAAACCGAAATCTTTCTCTTTTAAAGAAATGAAGAGGAAGTTGAAGCTTACGTTTGGTGGGACTAAAAAAGAATCGAGCAAGTTTCCGAATTTCGGGTCAAAAAGAAACTTGGAGTTTCCTAGTGAGGGGACTCTGCCTGGCCAACAAGGATTTGATGTAATTTTGGAGGCAAAGAGGCACCTTTCTGCAAGATTCAAGAATGTAAATGCTACGAAGACTTTGATGGACAAAAAATCCCCAAAAACCCTGGGCCGGATTCTGGCGTCGCCCGAGAGGGACTTTCGGGCCATTGGCCCAAGAAGGGGCAGCCCATATGGTTCTGATTTTGACCAGATGATCATCAGTCCTTACAATGGTTCAGCCAGAGTTGGTGAAATCATTTCAGAAATGCCAAAGGCTAATCAAGGGGTTTGTTTAAGCCCATCAAGGCATAACTCGGAGGTTACATCATGTGATTTTGTTTTCGAAAACCGTATCCTACAAATAATGGATACAAAAACTGGTTTATCTCCAACTCCAAGCACTGATGAAGAAGCACACGATGACAACAGCTCTTCTATTGATGATATCAAGTCTAACGGTATAAAATTAATCCTGTTTATGACATAACCGATTTCTTCTTCTTCTTATTTTGTGAAAAAAAAAAATGCTTGAATGTTTCTACAGGTGTATCCCAATTGCATACTTCAGAGGTGCCTACTGATACAAACAGCTATGACATTCAAAAATTGCAGTTAACAGACGCAACAGAATTACAAAAGGCTGATGAAACTGTAATGCATACATTATGTAACAGTGGTTTTTGTTCATAATCTTTTGCATCAAATTTTTTTAAAACACTCCCCTGCCATTTTTTTTATTGGCTTTCTGTTTTCAACTTGTACCTTGACCTGCTAACTAAAGTATTTTTTGATTTATAGGGTTCAATATCAGAGAACGAGGTGTCCACATCAACAATCGATGGGTTACCATCGATACCATCAAACATCAACCAGTTAGACTCAGCCAACACCATCAAACACCAAGGTGAACATCAGAGCCCGGTTTCAGTACTCGACCCGTTTTTCACAGAAGACGCTAACAGTCCCCCAAGCGCCACACTTGAATCTGGTAAGCTCAAAAGAAGAAAAATAAAATAAAATAAAAATAAAAACTAACATCCCTATCCTCTACTCCCGAATATGGCCTCACCGGTTATATTTTCAGGGCAATTTTTAGGACATCAATTCAAACCACGTCGTCTAGACTTTGACCCACCAAATTCATGCATGCAAGAACAAGATCACCTCTCCCAGTACGTTCATTCGGTACTAGAAGCTTCTTGTTTAGACTGGGATCAATTATCCGAAATCGCATCCACACATGAAGAGATACTCGATTCATTCTTATTTTATGAAGTGGAGTTTTCCCCTGTCGACGGTTATTTTGACCCGAAACTTCTTTTTGACCGCATAAATGAAATATTAGTAGACATATACGAATTTCATTTTTGCTCTCCTCCTTGGCCATCGTTCGTGAAGCCGAAAATCAAACCCGGGCCACTGGCAGAGCTTGTTCTTGATGAGGTCATGAAAGGAGCTGATTTTTTTCTGCTTCCGAGGACTGAGAGAAGGACATTGGACCAGCTTGTCTCGAAAGATGTGGCGAAATGTGGATCATGGATCGACATTCGGGTTGATACTGAAGAGCTCGTGAACGAGATTTCTGAAGAGTATGTGGAGGAATGCATGCTGGATGTTCTGCTGGAGTTTTATACTTAGGAGTGTTTGTTCATAATGTTTGTAGTTTCAAATTTTGTTTTGCCTTTAGGGGTTGTATGTGAATTTGACAGTTTTAGTTCTCCAATCTACATGGTTTGAAATAATGAATAAAATATGGTGGTATATTCTACCTAAAAGACTTTTATAGTAATCGTTTAGGTGTTTTTTGGTATTATGTGCATCTATGTGCCCCTTACATTCATATAAGTTTGAGTGCAAATAGATTTTAGGTGGTTTATTGGTTTTATGTGTATGTATGTGTCCCTTACATTCATGTAAGTTTAAGGTGTTGGAGTGCAAATAGATGTATACATGCAACTACAGTAATTTGTCGTTAGGTGAGTGGTTTAATGATTAGGTAATCATACTCTATCACTCTTTCAAGATATTTAGTTATATACATAATTTTACATTCCAATATCATACTTTAAATTACTATATAAACAAAAGTATGATATAACTATAATATTGAGTGTAAAAATATATGTATTTATGTTGAAAAATGGAATATGCTGGTAATCACTTCTGTGGCGTTATACCTTCACAAACTCTAAGTTTAGTGTGTAAAGGGGGAGATTCACAAACTCTAAGTTTAGTGTGTAAAGGGGGAGATACGACTGACAGGAGACACATCCCGTAATTTACCTCTTGAGATAACAAAAAGGCCAACTACAAGGATCCAGAACTGACATACGCATAAAACTTGTTTGGTACAAAAAAAGTCAAATAAATTATAAATTCTTACTCCAAATTTCTCGGTGGAACATCCCAAAATGTGGACTTGTAAAGACTAAGTCCACTGTGCTTCCCGCCACATATAAAACCCCCATTTACATAAACCCTAGCCCCCACTCTGAAACTCTCACGTATAAAACCTCCTTCATTTGCTCTGCAGCTACACAACAACAACATAATCAGTATACCCCAAAAAATCCACTGAAAAAGCCAGAAAAAAATGGAGGCTCAGGACGTGAAATCGAACCTGGTCCTCATCCTAGACTTCGGCTCGCAGTACACCCACCTCATCACCCGCCGGATTCGGGCCCTCAACGTCTTCTCCCTCTGTATCAACGGCACCTCCCCCTTGAAAGCCATCGCCGACCTCAACCCGCGCGTGATCATACTCTCCGGAGGCCCCCACAGTGTCCACACGACGGACGCGCCCTGCTTCGCACCCGGTTTCATTGACTACGTGGAGTCGAACCGGGTCCGTGTCCTGGGCATATGCTACGGGCTCCAGCTGATTGTGCAGCAATTGGGCGGCGAGGTGAGGGTCGGTGAGAAGCACGAGTACGGGAGGATGGAGATCGAGGTGGAGGTCGACTGGGGGCTTTTTGGGAATAGGAGTGTTGGGGACAGGCAGAGTGTGTGGATGAGCCACGGGGACGAGGCAGTCAGGCTGCCGGAGGGGTTTCAGGTGGTGGCGAGGAGTAAGCAGGGAGCTATCGCGGCCCTTCAAAATCAGGAGAAGGGGTTTTACGGGCTACAGTATCATCCTGAGGTACGTGTGCTTCGGTATTTCAATTTTGTTGTTGTTGTTCAAAGTGGAATTTCATAGAGTTGTGGTGCTAATATCTTGTATCCAAACTACCTGTATCTCTTAATTGATTGCTGTGATTGCCAAGCTTTTCCCTTTTGAGTCTACCTAGTGTGCTTAAAGCTGTGGAGATGTTATCTGTACTACTCTAGTCCTCTAGTATAAAAGTCGCATCTTTTGGGGTTCCTTTGGGGTAGTGAAGGTAATAATAGTTGATTTGTCTTTTATTCTGTTGGGAGCTAATGTTTTGCATCCTTGTGTTGCTTGAGGGGTTAGCAGTCGCTATTCGAGTCTACCCTAAGGTTACTTTGAAACAGGGAAGATAACATGAGCTGCATTGAGCTTATTTAGTTATCTTTTTGTGCTTGTTAATAGATTCAGTATATATTAGTTACTGCTGGCATTACTGTCTAATTTACTATCCTTTTTAGAACTCATTTCTACTGTGGGCTAAATGTATAGAAATTGAAGATAGCCTCATATTCCCGAGCTCATTCCAAAGATTCCAAAGGGATCATTTCTGAAAATATTTATATCGTTTGCAGGTAACACATTCGCAACCAGAGGGAATGGAAACACTGAAACACTTTCTCTTTGACTTGTGTGGAATAACAGCTGGCTGGAAAATGGAAGATGTTCTTGAAGAGGAATTGAAAATCATCAAAACCACGGTTTCACCTGATGATCATGTCATCTGTGCGCTTTCTGGTGGGGTTGACTCAACAGTTGCGGCTACCCTTGTCCATAAGGCAATTGGAGACAGGCTTCATTGTGTTTTTGTTGACAATGGATTACTAAGGTGAGATTGCATGTTCTACACTTGATGCGTGTGCATTGTGTACCCGCTGAGGAATTTGATTACTGTTCCTCCTTTTCTTTTCCTTTTCATAATCTTTTCTGTATTTGTTTCATTAAAAGGTGGCAAGAGAGGGAGAGGGTAATGGAGACATTCGAGAGGGATCTTCATCTACCCGTTACCTGCGTTGATGCTGTGGACCAATTTTTAAGCAAGCTGAAGGGTGTCACGGAACCTGAAAAGAAGCGGAAAATAATTGGAAATGAATTCATCAATATCTTTGACGCTTTTGCCCATGATTTAGAGGGAAAATTGGGGAAAAAGCCTGCTTATTTGGTTCAAGGAACCTTATACCCTGATGTGATTGAATCCTGTCCACCACCTGGAAGCGGAAGGACACACTCTCACACGATAAAAAGCCACCATAATGTTGGGGGCCTCCCCAAGGATATGAAACTGAAGCTTATTGAACCACTCAAACTTCTATTTAAGGATGAGGTATTAAGTTTTTCCAAGTTTTCTACTTTTCTTCTGGTGAATTTCATCTTTTGACTGCATCCATTCCTTAAATTGATAAATATTTGTGTTGGTTTTGATTTTGAAGGTTCGTGAACTTGGAAGGATTATGGGGGTCCCACAGGGGTTCTTGAAGCGCCACCCTTTCCCTGGGCCCGGCCTTGCAGTACGTGTTCCTGGTGATGTTACTTTGGGAAATCGTCTTGACATCCTGCGCAAGGTATCTCTCCCTATGCGTTTGAAAAATATTGTAATATCAAAAGACCGAGTTTTAGGTGTGACGTGTGTTGTACATAAAAAATAGTAATGTAATTTTTTTGAATTATTTGAAATTTATGATTAAATTTCTTTTATTTTTGCTTTATAATTTTGTTGGAAGTATAGATTTCTTAATCAACACGTGTATTACACGGTGTTTTAATGCTACTAGTTGTATAATAATTGTGTCATGGACATGAATTATGGGAGTCTAGCTGTTCTTTTCTGTTTCTTTATTCATTTTTTTGGGTTAAATCAGGCGGATGAGATTTTCATTCAAGCTATTAAGGATGCTGGGATTTATGACTCTATATGGCAAGCATTTGCTGTTTTCATGCCGGTGCTAACTGTTGGTGTTCAAGGCGACCAGAGAACTCACAGTTATGCCATTACTCTCAGAGCTGTCACGAGTCAAGATGGAATGACTGCAGATTGGTACATTTTCCATTATGTTATGATTTGTCGGGTGTGCAATTAGTTGCTTACTGTGTCTTTATGTGCTAATAATCAGGTATTACTTTGATCACAAGTTTTTGGCCGATCTATCCACAAAAATTTGCAACGAAGTTCCCGGTGTAAATCGAGTTCTTCTGGACATCACTTCTAAACCTCCATCGACTATCGAGTGGGAATAATTTGGAGTGAAATCATATGAATACCAAATTCTTACCATGATGTGAAGAGTTGGGCCTTTTGCCTGGGAATGGGTATTTCGTGGCTCTGTACTCAATGAACAAAACAGATGGCTCTTGCATATATTCGCATTGGATTGTGCTGATAATTGAAACAAGGGTATGTTTAATCACTATGATTCTTGAATTTGGTAGCTATTTTTTTTTTTTTTTTTTTTTNCGTTTATGGAACACTGATTGTGCTGTGGCTTAAATTGTAGCAAATGTTACATCCTTATTTTTGTGTCTTGTGACTGCTTGTCTTCTTTTTTGACGGGTTTACTTTGGCAATTTAAATTGGATCTTGAATTGTAAAAAAATATCCAATGATAAATGATTGTTTCATTTGGTAACCAATCATAGCTTAAAATACTCCATAAAAGAGAGGCCACAACACTCCAATTAAGATACTCCATAAAAGAGAGACCACGACACTCAATAAAGAAGACCAAATACACAAAATAACACAGATTCAATGAAAACTAGCTAAAATACAAAATAAAGCAAATTCAATAATAAACACTAGCCAAAACACACAATCAAATTCACTTGGAGACGTCTAAAAACAACAAAAAGAAGTGGGATTATTCCAAGTTTAAAATGCACATGAAGACTTTTCAAATTCAGAATTGCAAAAAGCAGCATACTTTAATGGAGCATTGTCCATAAATTCATAAATTGTAATGTGCGTGGTCCCTGGGTTTCAGTGACATAACAAAACAAGATACCTAAACCAATCATTCAAGAGGATTCTATCCACGTCCTAGTTAATTTATGTCTTGGAAATTTACCTAAAACGTGTGATCAACTCATAAAAAACAAATTACACGAGTAAATAAAATAAATTGAGAAAAGTATTCCGTGCGATCAAGGCTGCTAATCATCATGTCTGAAAGGAACCCACTGCCTACTTTTGTAGAATATTTGAGCTTTTACCACGCGTTCAATAATAATATAGACAAATTGAATGAGTTGATAGCTACTCCAAATTTATTATTTTGATTAATACGCGGACCCATGAAAATATTTCTTTTTACTGATTGAGATGGATGAATAGTTTTTTGCCCCAACAGAAACTGAGATTTGATTTATTTTAAAGCAATTATGAGTAAATTTTTAATCGACCGGAGCTTTTGGCCATAATCTGCTATTATTTTAAAGCAATCATGAGAAAAGAATGGAAACATAAAATAAAGATGAAACAAAAAAAGGTGGCTCGTACCATTATTAATTCATTGGACTTACTAAGTTTACTGAATACAATTTTTTGTACAATTAGTTACACATCCACATATCCTGATAATCCATCTTCTTCAACATTTTTTGATAATTTTCTGAAGAGCTTCTCTGATCACACTTGCTGATGTAGCTCGCAATCCCTTGCACTGCAAATTTGGCAATGGTCGTTAGTATAACAATTTCTTATTTTCATTTATTTTTTTTTTCCCATATGTATCATCATAAATAGAAAACTACATGCATTGCATTTTAAATGGTAAAACAGTTTTGGCAACTGGGGCAATTAAGTATCATAAAATTCAGGTTGCAAAGTCGAAAAACGCGTATAGTACAGGTTGCAAAAAATGTTTTACCCCATTTTAAAATGCAAATCAGGTAAAATTTCATCAAACAAATAGAAAAGCTCATTCTTGATATGGATATATCTAACCTTAGCTTTTATAGTCAAAGATAGGATTCCGTCAGTGTTTGAAGACTGCACATTTTGCGTGTCCATCCGTAGTTTGTTAACAGCTGCCATAATCTCGACCAAAACACAGTCTTTCCAAGGACACCTCATCTCGATCAACACATCCTTGTCTATAACGTTAATGGTTATATCATCATGGGCTTGTGTTCTTTCCATTTCAGAAGCCTTCCGTTTGACTGCTGATGACTTCTTATTAGAATTACTGACTTTATTGGGGCTGTAATTGCCAGAGGTCCTCTCTGCTGCATCCTGTGGTTTAGTTTGGGCAGTTGAGTCCAACTCCATTGATGCTTTGTAAGACTCGAGCTCCTCGACTTTCCTCTCGAGCTCGTTCAAGTACTGAATTGTATTGTCAAGTATTGATACTTTGTCGACCTGCATTAATTAAGCAAAAGATGAGGAAATTACTTTCATCAATATGTAGATAGTAATTACAAAGCTGCAATTAAATATGAATCATAATTGCTAAATATGAATCAAGGGCTTGTCATTTTTTTTTTTTTTTTTTTTTTTTTTTTTTTTTTTTTGTAATTAGATAAAAATAAGAGATTTTACGTACCTTGCCGCCAGACGGGACAAGTGACCCAAGAATCGAAAATCTCTCGTTTATTTTCTCTCTACGCTTCCTCTCAGACAAGACATGGTTTTTTTCATTTTCTTCCACTTCTGGTCGTGAGTCGGTATTTTTGTTCTGAACAGATTCGAGTCGATGATTTTCATGCATTTTAGCCACCTCAAACAGAACCTTCTTCAGAAACTTCTGCGATTTCCCACTTTCAGCCATTACCACCAACTCATCCTTCTTCCACCTAACAAAGCTCGACTTACGGCCCCCATTTCTAAAGTAAGGCCCAAGAATCAACTGATTAGAACTCTTCAAGAGATTCGAGAGCACACTATGATAATGCCCGTCATTGTTCGGTTGCAACTCTTGAATTAAGCCATTCATTTCCTTATTCCCACCCAAAAACGGGACCACTGACTCTGGATCCTCGTGTGTTTGGGAAACACATTCGCTCGAATTTACCGAGTTATTCAGACAATTGCTGATGGCATCGTCCATAAATGGCCAGCTCTGCATTTGTGAAGCCTCCTCGCCTTCTACCAAGTTCGACTCATCCCTCAGAAGGTTGTCGGCAAATTCATTTGACGAGTTGTTTGGAGATGTAATGTCAATATTGTTACAATCCAGAAGATGGTCGAGGCCTTCTTCAGGGATATTAGTGAGACCATTGTTGATGCTGTTTGGGAAGTAGAAGGGATTGTGTGGGACTACAGTTGAAGGGCAGTCGAGAAACAAGGTTTTTATATGCTGAATCAGGTTCATATCCTCAGGAACCTGTTTAAGAAACTAGTAACTCATTTCCTATCTTAAGGTTGCAATTTCTCGAAAAAACGGATAAAGAAGAAAAAAATAAAGAAAGAAGCAAATACGAAGAAGGTAATTTTAAATTTGAAAGAATGGATCTTACTAGTTCAGTTGCTCCCAGCTCAATCACGCCTCCTAAATGTGGAAAGCACGCTATTGTCTGCAAGTCGATCATAAGACATTGTTATGTTCCAAACTATTTTTTTTTTTAATAAAGGTTCAGACAAAATTAAGTACCTGGATGGATGCACTCTGGAAATAACACAAGCCGGGTGCCAGTCGTGAAATGCAGAAGTGGATAAACAAGATGTCAGAATCTTGAAAGTCCTTAAAAATGAAAATGAACATTTTTTTTTTGTGGGCATTATGAAAATTGATATGATGTCACTCTTATAAAAGTAACTGACTTACCTTTGCAAGCAACGAGCGTGAGAAAATTTTCGTGTCCGCAACGTGAGCATTGCACAGCCATATTGCTTGATTATTCGCTAGTGTCCTTCCAGGCAACCTTTTTGACAATTTAAATAAATTAATACAATCAGTATTCCCTTTCCCTGTTCTTCTTGGGTTTCTTTTTGTGTTAAAATATATGCATAAAAATACAAGCATACAACAATCTACATGGAGTTGCCATATTTCATAACAACTGAATTGGCACATTTCATTTCATGAAAACACACACAAACACAGAAAAAAAAAAAGAACAATCTTAGATTATTTTTTTTTTCTCTGAATGCAGCAAGAGATGGTCCCAGCAGGTAGGTGCCAAGAGAAAGAAAAAAAGTTACATATTTCTATTTCTTACAAACAATGACCACAAATTATCAAGGACGCCAAACATGTCACACCTGTTTTCGGTAAAGAAGACTGGAATCAAAAGAGAACTATGTTCAATCTATCAAACTCAGCTACTACAAAATGATTACGTAAACTGGTAGTAAATCCAAAGTTGAATAGAAAACATTAAAAGAAAAGCAATCATCATAATTGTTTCATCAAGTAGAAGATTTATTACCCTTGGTCGAAATTGAACATGAAGGACATGCAAACCAAGAAATACCACTCAGCATCAGTTAGATCTTCAGGGGATAATGCAGCTGTAGGTCTTTTAGCTTGAGGATTAGTTTCACCAAGGGATAAAGACTCATAAAGTTCTCTCAATTGTTCAGTTCTTTGCAATCCCAGTTGATCAGCATTTAATTCAGCCGCCTGAACTGTTTTTCTTGTCTTAATATCACCATTGTAATAACCATCACCCCATTCCAACACCCTGAACAATCATTCAAGAACTCTCCATTCTCAAAACATGTATGTGAATTAACAGATATTGTTGAGAAGCAGTCAATTGTGAAATAAAATCATCCATACAGATACAACTGAATGATCTTCGTTCAAGCGTTTATCTTTATTTAGCACCGGATAAAAATACAATTTTGATGAATACAGAGAAGCCAACATAAAGTCAAGAAAGGCAACAAAACACAGCAAACGAATAATATAGAGTATGTGTAAGGATGATGGCCCATCAAAGTCAGATGCACATGTGAACAATCTAAAGTACCTGTAGCCTCCTTTCTGGGGAGCTAATTCTTTTACAGAGGAAAAAAAAAAAGTAAAAGCAAACTTAGATATTATTCTCTCAAGAAACCATATTGTGAGGAAGGTAAGCAAGCATTTGGTGATTGCAAAAACATCAAACACAGACAACACCAACACAAGAAAGGATTAAACAAGATAAAGCTGTAACAACAACAATATTAATAATTATAATAATAATAAAAAAAAAACTAGTGAAGGTCAAAAAGGAGCTTTACCCAGGTTGCCTAGATGAAATAGACCAGAAAATTGCATAACTCCATTGAATGCTCTTAACAGCAAGAGCAAGCTGCTTCCTTAGATCCTTTGGCACTTCAAAATGGTTTTGGTCTTCCGTAGCCATTTTTTTCAAACTCAGCCCCCTCTCTAACTAACATTTATAGGAAAACAAAAAAAATCAACAAATAACAAAATGCTAATAATAGTAAAAGATTCCAACTTGGGATCTGACCAACTCAACTTTGACAAAAGTAAAAATAAAAATATTTCCCAGCTCAAAGGCTGCTAAAACATTCAAGAACCAACCTTTTTTCCCAGAAAAGGGCTTTAACGGTTGACCTTAACCCTCCAACCTCTAATTAGCTCTATCTAAAAGACTTTCGGGTTGAAAACGTTAAAAAAAATCCGAGGACCACAAAAGGACGGATCTTTTAACGGGATTATAAATTAAATTGGATTGTAGTATAGAGTGAAGAGAAAAAATAATAATAATGTAGCCGGCTGCTCCTCAGTAGTACTCAATCAAAATCTGGGACGAAATCAAGAAACAAGAACAGTTCAAATGGTGTGTATGCATGCACGATAATATGATATAAATGGAGAACAAAAGGGGGATAATGCCAGGAATCTTGAATATGCAAGGTCTTGTTTGGCTTCAGAAGTAGTAGAGATTAGAGAGGCTGAATATTTTATTTGGACATTGTGTAAAGTCCAAACACAACGTTTGATGATTGGTCTTTTGTAGGGGAGAGAAGTTATGGAGTGAAGGTGATGGGCAGTGTAGATCTGGACCGCCAATGGTCCACTGAATGGAACTGCGACGTTTAGCTGATGACCCTACTGAAAAGCAGAGAATATGGCGAGAAAATTCGTGTAAAGCACAATTATATTAATAAATAATATTTACAAATCTTGCACAAGGGCGTCTAGCTGTTAGATAGATTACACATCATATTATTTGAACAAAAATATATATTTATAAGTTGTATTTCTATTTATATTGTGTTTTAAAGTATAATTATTTTGATTAAATTATGAATATTCATGGCATGCTGATTACCAAGGGAAAAAATTTAAAAGTTATAAAAAAAAATTAGTATAACTGAGTTGGTAGTTGGGCATAATTAAAAAATAGGACAATGTGTTTAAAAAAGAAGTGCATGTGCTCGGTTGAGCTTTTCTTGGTGAAGCTTATAAGATTTTTATTTTTATTTTTATTTTTTATTTTTTTTTAAGAAAACTATTGTTGAATGTGTTAAAAATTTCTGTCAGCGTGTAATAATTGGCAGGCTCAAAAGATTATGTTTGAAAAGAGTTACCCTTGTGATAAGCTCTCTACATTAAAACTCGCATATGTACTTGGTTAAAAATATAATCATTTGCCTTGCAAGATTTTTTCGTGGCAAATGAAGTAAGACGCAACAAAGCATATACATACTTGAGAGATCAATTAAGCATCAAGCTCTTTAACTAGGGCATTGTTTTTAAAATTGCCGAACATTGACCGAAATTGACTTTCGGTTCAACCACCGAGTTATCATATCATTTGCATAATCGGATAATTAATTTTAAAAATCATTTCCACATATAATATTTCAAAATATCAATAAAAAATAACACATATACATAATTTATACATAAAATTTAATAATGTCAAAGTCTAAATATTAATGTCCCATATAATAAATCTGTACCACATGAATATATATAAATACCTTATTTTCTAAACATTAAATGCATTTTTAGAAAAAATAATAATAAAAAACTTTCATTTAGTTTTATACATCAAAGTCTTACTATCACTGTTCCTCGTTTTTAAAGTTGACTGCGTTAATTATAAGTATACACAAAAGTTTTATTTTAATATTTAATCTATTTTTAACAAATAACCAAAAATATATTTTACATGTAAGCGTTATATTTTAAAGTCTTAGTGTTATCTGGATTATCATCAATATTTATCACATAAAAATATATGAATAATTTTTATATTTAAAAATAAATATATTTTAAGCATAAAAAATATATTAAAGCCTAGCCAACTGAGTTGACTGAGTCGATGCCTAGACTAGAATCGGGCCGTTCGGATTAACAGCAGATAAAAAAAAATAATCATTTACACCAACTGACCCAAGTTTGACTTCACGTTGATAGTATTCAGGCCAGTCCTAATTACAATGGACAATACAAAGAAGAAAAGTGTAATTCTCTCTTATGTGTAATATAATGCTTGTTGGCACAAAACTTTCAGTCTATTTACTCTCAAATCTCTAATTAACAAGTATTAATTAATGCTTTCAGCATTGTAGAATTGATTGAGCATCATATTTGTCGTTCTACATTGTTTATATATATTCCGGCCAAAATGAAATCGCCATGGTTTGTATGTCCAAAAATTGAAAAGGAAAAGAAAACAATAAGGTAGAGTTGTTGGGATTTTCGAACGGGTATGATTGAGTTATTCATGAACATTGATAGTTTTTTGTGGTCACCGAACATTGACGTGTAATTATTGGTTCATATCGTGGCCCACTTTGAAATTAATAATTTGGAATTGCGTAGTTGTTTTTGTATCAATTGTTGTTATAATTATTTTTATTCGCGTATAATTTTTTTCTCACTTCTATCAATCATTTCTATATTTGGGAATTTCAATTTGTATTTAATTAGCTAATTTGACAAGACAACAAATTTATGGCTACTTTGACAAGACACCACATTTATAATCACCAGCTAATTTGAAAAACACAGATTTTATTATCAGCACGGAGCATACATATATAAATACAGTCATGGCATGTATAAATATACTCATTTGCGAGAAAACTATTGTTGCCACTTTTAGATAAGTATCAAATTATAGTACATACTAATACCTTTTTTTTTTTACTTGTCAACATACACAAACCATGTCATTTAATTATACTAAAGATTGAAAAAAAATAAATAAATAATATACAAAAAACATGAATTATCGAAAGTTTTTGTTGTACACGACATTATATATTTAACGGTTGGTCCTCTTTGTATAACAATATTCTTTTATTGTTTTATTGATCATTTTTAAAATTATCAGTATAACTTTTTATGATCGGAACTTTCAATCAACAGTACACTAGACATTAACTGAAATGTTATTTTTAGTTTATATATTTAATATTTTGATTTTGATTTTAAAAATTTTGAAAATTCATTAAGTCAAATGTATATGTTGTATATATATTTTTCCTTTAAATTTTTAAAGCATTTAATAAAATAAATATGAATTGTCATTCAGTAAAAATGTTGACAAGAATTATAACAAAAGAAATTTACATTATTAAAATGAATAAATTGATCTAACTAGTGTTGATCTAAAACATGCAAATAATTTGTGAAAAAATAGATTTTAATGTAAATATAAAAAATATTATTTTTCTCTAATTTTATATGCCCACTACAAGAGTTGAATTAAACAATAATAATTATAAATAATAATTAATATATGGTTCTATATTTAAAATGTGGTAAAATGACCAAGTATTAAATTTTAAATATTTGTAATTATTTCATAATACAAAAGATAAAAAAAAAAGTCTATTTATATGTCTTTTATTTAATAATACATGTATATTGATATAGATTTATGAAGTATCTTCTCAATAACAATATATAGATAGTATGAAAATTATTATGACAAGCCAAATAATTATTAAATTAGAAAATTAATATTTTTTATATTTAAATATCTATATATATCAAATCAATAAAAACCCAACAAATTTTTACGGTATTTCAAACTTTATCATTTTATTATTATTTAAGATAATGACTTTATTTTATATCATTATTTATAATCTATGCTTAATTTATTTTATAATTTATTTTTTCGTAATGTGGGCATAATTATAGCTATATTTCATTTTACGTATCCAATAAAAGTTATGGAATATTATATTATTTTCTAAATACTTTGACTTTTAATAAAACAACACAAATTGTCAAATAAAGAATAATATATATTGGACGAGAAAATTTAATAAGTTCACTGATAAACTTTATTCTCTTTAGTAATACATATACATAAATACATATAAATTGATAACACCATAAAAAAGACACGTATAGCTAAAAATACAAACAAAACTCAGCTAAAAAATATAAACAAAACTCACGAACACTCAGAGTACATAAATTATTATTTCAATAATTTCCGTACTCTCAACTTGTTATACTCTTCGAGAATATATTATAAAATCATCTTATGGCAAAATTGATGATGGTGACCATATAACAAAAGATCATTGGTTAAAAAGACTTATTCGATACTCCAAATTTTTGTAATCTTCTAAAAAAATGTGTTCCATTCAGTATGACTCTTCAATCGTACGAAAATCTTCAAATACACGAATTTTATAAAATTGATGTAATAATTACTTTTGTCCTTATGTGGTGAGTTTTACAAATCTGACTGAAATTTCATCATATCGTCAGTAGAGATATCATTCTTTAGAAAAACGTGTCCAAATTGATTTTACAAATGTGATGTAGGAAAGCGTACGAGTGAGAATGATAAAACAAGATTCCAATATCTCAATATGTAAACACGATTCAAATTCTTATTTCATTTATCAACTACTTAACATGAAAGTCTATGAGTTCTTTAAATAAGGCTCTCAGAATCCTAAAGGCCATTTTGTCCACCAAACTACTAAATATTAAATAATAATATTAAATGTTAATAATAATAATAAGAATAATACTAAGAATTATATTTCTTAACTAATGTTCTATCCACCTCATTCTTCCCTGATTTGGAAGGCTTCGCGAAGGTTGAATGTCTCCCAACTATGTCATTGGTCGTCAGAACAGCAACGGCCCCATGCACTGGGGTAGACTTCTTAAGCAATCCAACAAAGTGCTCAAAATTTCGATTAATAAAAATTAGAAAGAATCATTAAGTTTTCCTAAAAATGAAACCGAATTTTCCCACCAATACACTTCTTTTCTACCAAACAAATTGATCCGAATATTTAGTTAAAATAAAGTGAAAAGATTTGTCAAATTTTCCTAAAAATGCAATCGAATTTTCCAAACATTGCACCGATGTTTACCAAACAAATTAAATTAATTCGAATAAAAAATCAAAATAATTTGTTAAGAATTATGCAACTATTTCTTTCCTGAAAAAATTGGTATGAACTTATCAAAATCTTGGTAAAATATGTTTAAGAAAAAATATAAAAATTCAAAAAAATCGGTACAATCAAAACTTGAAAAGTTGCACACTATTTCAAAATTGATTTTAACTTTTTTCCTAAATAATTGTATAAGATTTGACTTTAAATATCAAAAGATGAACTAATTTGTTATAAAAAAAATGTGGATACGATTTTGAACGTATATCCTGTCCAAATCTCAACTTCGTTTTAAAATAAAAACTGCATGTTGTTTTATCCAATTTACACACATTTTTTGAAAGACAAAATTATTCAAAAAGATCAGAAGAATTTGTTAAGAACTATACAACTATTTGTTTCATAAATTTGTATCCAATTTGCACGGTTTTTAAATTAATTTGAATTTGATTTGTTTTCACACATTTTTTACATAAGAATCTCCAAATTTGTTACCAAAAAAATGGGATTCAGATGTTGGTAAAAAAAAAATAAAAAATGATACAAAAAAAAATGAAATTCAGATTTTGGTATTTGTTACTAAAGATTCACATGCGTTTTTTCGAAATTTCTACTAATAATAAGTCAAACTATTTATTTTTCTGTCGAACTTGCTATTAATGTATTTTTCCAACATCTTTATATATATATAGATAACGCTTATTTTGTACATTTTAAAGCATGAATGAGATTTTCTGAAATTATAAACTCCTAATGAATCTGTACACCTACGTAGAGCACGACGTGAAATAAGATAATACAGGGTTTCAACAAGAGCTGATAAAATTCAAAGAACCTTCTTTGAGGATAACAAAAAAAATCAAAGCGCCACAAGCAGTGATTTTCTGAAATTATAAACTCCTAATGAATCTGTACACCTACGTAGAGCACGACGTGAAATAAGATAATACAGGGTTTCAACAAGAGCTGATAAAATTCAAAGAACCTTCTTTGAGGATAACAAAAAAAATCAAAGCGCCACAAGCAGTACACTTTTACAGCAGCTGTACATTTTAACTCTTGAGTTTAGTAAGGGAGACCCAACACTAAAAATTTGGAAAACAAATCCCATTGGTACTAAATTTAGAAGCTCTGCTGTGGATATCCTTCAATAAAGCGTCTTCCTAATTCCATCTGAAATATCATATCAGAAAATTCACATGAATTATAAATTTGATTAGAAGTCCAAACAAACCCATTAAAATAAATGTGGAGCTAAAATAAACTCAAACACGCAGTCATTAGAGAAAAAAGTAAGTTCAACCCATCAAACTACCTTTCTCACATGTACCTTTCTCACATGTGGTGAAATATAATGAATTTAGTGATTTGCAAGAAATGATTGGGCAAAGACAGAAAACTTAGGACAGTGGTACGAGTCAAGATTATTAAAGTATAGAGATAAGATTATTAAAGTATAGAGATGTATAAAATGGTCTAACTAAATAATATGTTGTCCAAAATAAATTATGCTCATTGACACATGCAACTGAACCTAATGATATATCGTGCACTAAAGTTAGCCCTCGGTATAAAACAGACCAATTTTATGATTAGAATAATAGTTAATCTTCCGTCTAATTTCTAAATAATATATAAATCAATAATTATTTCACCTCTACTTTTTTATTATTATTTCACTATTTATGGTTTATTATAAAAAAATTGGACTAAATACACCCCAATCTCTTATTTGATTTGATTAATCTCACGGCAACTATTTATCTAATAAACCTATCTAAAATAACAAAACTTTACAAACATCAAAATATTGTTCTAACAATTTGTACACACTCCTATCCTTGAATGAAGTCTACATTTTTGCCGTACAACTAAAGACAACATAGATGATGGAACATGAAACCACAATAAAGACAACATAGACAACATTTTTCCGATATCAAAATTAGATTCCAATTTCTATTTCAATATATTCAATGAGTGATAAGCATCAATAAATGAAATCGTAACTACACACTGAATTAAAGAAAGGATCACTGGTCACAAACAGTGTTCCCGGAAATGATAAATGATAACCAGGCCAATTTAAATAAAGTTATGTTGGCCTGATGGGCTTCAAGCTGCAAGGGCTAAATTTGCAGAAAGAAGCCCTGCAGACGTCTAGACAAGTTTATGCACAAAGCCCACATCTGACCAAAATTTTGATATTGTACATGAGCTCAATAGACCATGTGGTCCGAAAAAATTGCACCTACTAAGCCGGGATGGGACATAGGGTAGATGTCGTCGGTTTTTTTCGAGTAGACAGTGGAACATTAGTCATTTGAGCAATTGGTTAGACGAATTGTAGAAGAAAAAGGAGATGAGAGGGAGAGAGAAGGAGACGAATAGAGAGAGGGGAAGAGAGAAAGTGTGTGATAATTATAGATCCATTAAATTTGTTTTATCATATTTAAAAATAATTATCTGTTACTCAATAATCTAGTATGTTTGTAAATAAATATGATAGTTTTAGTTAATTTGCAAATAAATATATACTAGTATAATTCCCGTATATTACACGGGTGTTGAATTAGAAAGCTTTTGTAAAAATATTAATTTTTTTATTTTTTTAGAAACTAAAATAATTTAATTTTATATAAAACATTACTTTGGGTTTTAATTAAATTGTTATATTATATTTTTTTAATCATAATAATTAAACACTCGTACACTAAATGAAAATATCAACCCGTATTGAATTTTTTTACTTATATCATTTAAAAATATCGATATTATTTAGTATTACATAAGTACACAAATATATATCTTAAATAAATAGAAATAATATGGTGATATGTATATGAATAAGTGAAGTATATGTTTAATTAATATTAAGTAAAATAAATTTATTTTTTTACTTAATTAGATGCCTAATACGTCAAATGTTATATCAGTCGTGCTTCAAAGTTTTTTAACTTTATATGTAATTTTAGAATTTAGATAAATAATGATTTATTTTCATTAGATTGACAACATACCAATTAGATTTGAAATAAATATCATTTTTAAAAGAATACATACCAATACCTATTACTTTATAATATATTTTATTGTTTTATTTTATATAATTTAATTAAGTTTGATAAATATTTTAAATTTTGTTTATAATGATATATATTACTGTTTTGTATTTTATATATATAATATGGATGTCAAATCGAAAATAATCAAAATATGATTAATTTGATATATTATATATGTAAAACCGATAAGAAATACAAAAATTATTAAATTTTAAAGTAGTTTATGATAACTAATTGTAGAAGTAAAGAAGGAAAAAATCAATCATGGATTTAGTGTTATAAAAAATATTAATTTATATACAAGTCTAACTCCAAAGCGTGGTTTTTTGCCAAATAGGATTCCGAAGCATGAAAGTTTGTCACGTAAGCTCAGCGCATTATGAATTATATATAGGGGATGAGTTGTAATTATGTAGTAAAAATATTAATGTGTAGTTGATGGTGTAATTTCCACTATATTTAATAGAGAAATTTACTCCAACAACGAGTAACTTTGCCCTGTGGGCTTGGGCCTATGACATGTGTGTTGTTTATTACAACAATGTATGGGCTTGGGATACTTTTGCATTCTTTATTCTGATAAGGTTTGATTTGATTGTAGTTGAATTTTCACTTTTACCGTGTGATTTGGAAATAATTATAATTTTACGATAGAGTGATTTTGAAGTAATTGTAGTTTTACGATGGGGAAAACTTTATTAACATTTTTATAAATTTCATGTCAATTAATTGCAAAGATATTCAACTACCAAATAAAATGCAACCGAATGTAACCGTCTCCCCTTAAATTGCACAGGTTATGGTATTTCAACTCTCAGGTGTTTTGAATGGACCGGATATATTGTGTTTATAGTCAATATATATTCAGTATATACTACGGTATTACATTATATTTTTATCACAATTGTGATGTTTGAATTTAGGTTCAATATATTGCGTTATAGTCAATATATACTCAATATATGTTGCATTTTTTATTTACATAGCATTTTAATATACCTACAATTGTGATGTTTGAATTATTGTTCAATATATAACTTGTCGTATACATATCATAAACTGATCATGGATCACAACAAGTCTTGTATATTTTGCAGTCTTGGCACGTTGTAAGGGTTTGGCAGGTCGGGCACCATTGAATCCCCAAATATATCCCTGGTACCATTCAGGTCGGACCCTGCTCAACCCTCTCCTTTCTAGCATCGCACTGACAGATAGATGGTCACTACATCTTCCACCTCTCGGGAAGCGATTGCTCGGCCTCGACCACGGGGCTCGGCTCAAGTTGGGAATGAACAAACTCCGAGTGGATTGGCTCCACTTGGAAGGAGATCAGCTCTGGATGATTCAATTATGGCTCCTCAATGTTCATTGTTTTCCCTTCGCGATTATTGTTATGCGAAATAAATTGTAACAATGAAAAATATGTATGATGAAAAGAAAAGAAAACTTGTTCACGATTAATCGACAGTCAAACTGAATTGCAGTTCAATCTTTTTCTCTGTTTTTTCTATTTTGTAAAAAGTCTCTATTTTTTACAGTGAAATCTCCGCCTATTTATATTGCAGTACAACGAACACTGTGTGTGTAGTACATCTTTGTGTAGTACAACTCTTTTCTATTTTTAGAAAGTACTGCTGCACTTAATGCATAATGATTATGGCTCGAATCTCGGTGTTGATCCATGCTCTATGCTTCCAACACGTGTACCCGACATTTTGGTGGGTAGAAGTTGTCAACAATTATTTCCTTGAAAGTGGTTGTAAGTTGGTCGAACAAGAGTTCGGCCTCCCAAAGGCCGCGAAGACGACTTATGTTGATTTTTTGTGCTACTAGGCATTTTTCGTATAGATCTTATGTTTTGCCGCTTAGCTTGTCTATTAACTGTAGACGCAAGTCTTAACGGGATTGGACACGGAGTTCGGGTATCAACATACAGGCCCCCGAACCTGTGTTCCACTCCACCAACCTCTTTGTCGGCCACCACAACCGTATCTTAATGGTCCCCTTCCACGGCGCGACGAAGAATGTGCTCGCGAGGTTCGCTGCCCCAGTCCTGCTGTTGGTAGTCGAAGATAGTCACATCCTTAATTCGTGGATCGATAAGTTGCAGGCGGCTGAAATCCATGGAGTTGTTTTTTCAAGATCAATTCCTCGATTTCGACAATTTCAGATCCCTCCATAACCATATGGGGAAAACGTGGTTTCGCTCATCGGAGAATCAATTTATAATCGATTTCTCGACATCTAACATCAACAATTGTAGCTATACAACTCCAATTCATGATTAGGGCTAAAAAATGAATTGGAGATTTTTGTAGGGAAGAAGACGACATATTCAATGTGTTTGTTCATTTATATCATGTCATTATGTAGATACCGGGTCAACCTAAAAAAATTGTCACGTGGGAGCCAAGTCAGACACGCTGGCAAAAATATTGTCGTCGATGAGATTTGAGTTCGAATTGCAATTGTGCGGACAATAATATATTTTGTTTTCTAATATTCAAAACTTTAATTAATTGTCAAAAAAAATTAAGGTGGTGATATGTCGATAATTAGGCATTTGTAAAAAAAAAAAAAAATAGACTAATGAGAATAATACTCATCTAATTGTCAATACACAACGTATAAATACGAGTATATATCAAGGATGTTTTTTTTTCTTTAAAAAAAAAATAGTGGACAATGCAATATTTAACTCGAGTAGAGCGTAAGAATTTAATCATGAGACTTGGTAAACGAAACTTGGTAGTATAATAAAAGGTCACAACTACCAATAACTCAAATGCTATTTCCCCATAAATAGGTCGCAGCTTTGCGGGAGAATGGCAGAGAAAGGACAACGAAAAGTTCTTTATGGTAGCTTTCGCATTTTCCAGTACAACTTTTACAGAACGCTTCGGTCCGATCGCAACTTCGGCAATTCTAAGCACGCCGATTCCAGAGTTCGCGGGCCATGACACGCGCTGTGCCGTCGTCTGTTTCTTTTCTTGTTGGGCTTGGATCTATTCGTACCCGATCTTTGGCCCAAAAAGAGCCCATCAAAAATATGAAATGCGTAAATAACCAAACAGACCACTGAACCAGTCCAAAACCAAAAGTTCACCAGAAAGCAGTCAAAATCCGTCACACTGGAAAATTCCACACAGATATCCTCAGAACACGTCCTCACCGGTAACAACAAAATCAGAATGGGTCTCCTGAAAATCTCCGACAACCACACTGTGGCACCATACAATGCCCCGATCGTCTCCTCCTACAACGACCGCATCCGGCCGCTTCTCGACACCATCGACCGCCTCCGCCACCTCAATGTCGTGCAGGAAGGCATCCAACTCCCCACAATCGTGGTGGTCGGCGACCAGTCATCAGGCAAATCGAGCGTCCTCGAGTCCCTCGCCGGTATCAGCCTTCCCCGCGGCCAGGGCATCTGCACCCGCGTCCCCCTCATCATGCGCCTCCGGAATCACCCAAGCCCTAACCCCGAACTCTCCCTCGAGTTCAGCAGCCGGACGGTGCCGACCGACGAAGCCAACGTCGCCGACGCCATCCGCCTGGCCACCGAGGAGATCGCCGGAGAGGGCAAAGGGATTTCAAACACCCCTCTGATTCTGGTCGTTAAGAAGAGCGGCGTCCCGGACCTCACCATGATCGACCTCCCCGGAATCACCCGGGTGCCTGTCCCCGGCCAGGCGGACGACATCTATGAGCAGATCTCGAGGATCATCATGGAGTTCATCACTCCCGAAGAGAGCATAATCCTCAACGTCCTCTCCGCCGGCGTGGATTTCGCGACTTGTGAGTCCATACGCATGTCTCGGCAGGTGGACGGCACGGGCCAGAGGACCCTGGCTGTGGTGACCAAGGTCGACAAGGATCCTGAGGGCCTGCTCGAGAAGGTGACCTCAGATGACGTCACCGTCGGCCTGGGCTATGTCTGCGTGCGCAACCGGATCGGGGACGAGACGTACGAGGAGGCCCGTGAGGAGGAGGCTTGGCTGTTCAAGACGCACCACCTCTTGTCTAGGATAAGCCCGTCAATGGTCGGAATCCCTGTCCTGGCTCAAAGGCTCGTCCAGATACAGGCGAGCCTCGTACTCAAGTGCTTGCCTGACATCGCAAGGAAAGTCAACGACAGGCTGTCTTCCAACATGGATGAGTTGACCAAGCTGCCGCGCACCATGACCTCTGTCGCTGAGGCCATGACGGCCTTTGTCCAGATTTTGTGCAACGCCAGAGAATCCCTGAAGAAGATTTTGCTGAGGGGAGAGATTGATGAGTATCCAGACGAGAAGGATATGCACTGCACGGCCCGGCTGGCTGAGATGCTCAGCCGCTACTCTGACGATATGCAGGTCAAAGGCTCCCAGAACGAATCGATGGGTAAGTTGTTGCTTGATGAGATTAGCGTGTTGGAGGAGACGAAAGCAATCGGACTTCCAAATTTTCTACCGAGGGCCGCTTTTCTCATCCTGCTTGAGAAGAAGGTGAAGGGGGTGTCTTTCATGGCTTTCGACTTCGTCAACATTACATGGGCCTACATAGAGAAAGTGTTGATCTCTGTCCTCACGAAGCACTCGGATAACTACCCACAGCTACTCTCGTCCATGAGGCAAGCCGCCCGGAACCTGGTGGCCATGAAGAGGAAGCAGTCGGAGGTTTGGGTTGTGGATATGATCGAGATGGAGAAGATGACGGACTACACGTGCGACCCTGAGTACATGGCTTCGTGGAGCAAGCTCATGGCCAACCAGAACATGTTTAAGGAGATTCTGAAAAACAACTCGATGCACGGGAATGTTTTGCCCATTGATGGGCACTGGTATGTTGATGTAGGGCACCTAAGGGGCCAGAAGGGGGACGTGCATGAGGCATTTGACCTGAAGATGAGATTGACGGCCTACTGGAAGATTGTGCTGAGAAGGATGGTCGATTGCATGGCCCTGCATTTGATGTTTAGCATACGCAATCTGGTGAACAAGGAAATGGAGGTGGAAATTGTTAATGAGGTGATGGGTCCAGAGGGGAAGGCGATGGACAGGATGCTGCAGGAGTCGCCTGCTGTGGCCGAAAAACGCAAGAGGCTCAATAATAGTGTGGAGTTGCTCAAGGAGTCCAAGGATGTGGTGGCCAAGATCATTGATAATATATCTGGTATTAGTATGTGATGGTTTTATTTTTATTTTTATTTTTATTTTTTCGATTTCGTGTTCAGCTTTCGGACTTTGGTTGGGTATTGTTGCTGTTTTGAAAGACTAAGTTTAACCTTTGTTTTACACCTAGTCATCGTTTCTTCGTGATTGCAAGTTTAACCTTTGTGTCACACCTAGCAATGGTCTCTTCAATCAGTTTAACCTTTGTGTTACACCTAGCAATGGTCTCTTCAATCTTCATGATTGCAAGCAATACAAATCAGAACTAATTGAAGGGCGATATGGATCTTATTAATGATTGGTTTTATAATGAGTGCATGGTTGCTTCCCTAAACCATGTTTCCTAAGGTCTGCAAGGCCCATACAGTACTTTGTCTTGCTTTGTTTGGACTATTTAGTCTCGACTCTTGAGGGAGGAGTAAGATTATGGGAAATTTTTATGTATTCCACGAGATTGTTAAAATATTACAAAATTACCATTCATGCACAATTAATTGTATATATACCTCATAGATAATAATTAATTGCATTGATGCCTAAAACCCATTTACAGTGCCAACCTCCCTTCCTTGTTTGTAGCGCTTGATATGCGGGCAGTTACAAAAAATCATGCATATAAAATAAAGGGCACGACTACAGTGCCTTCACGGTATGGTTCCCCTATTCTACTCTACACCGTTAGATGTTTGAAATTAATAATAACCATGTGATTTACTTAATCGTAAGCCACATAATTTTAGTTATTGGAACCCACAACTTGTTAAGAAGATGTTCCTTCTTTCCTGCTATTATTTTACAAAGATTTTCTTCTTTTTATCGTATTCTATTTTTATGTTTATGCTTAGTATTTTTCTAATTAGGCAAAAAATAAATTTTAAATATGGTCTAGATGCCTAAATTGAACAACCAATGATGAGATTGCCGTTTTTTAAATGCAAATTATATACTATAAATATTGTAAAATTAATTAAGAGTTAATACCATCCTCTTTAAAAAAAATGAAAAAGATAACAATCCATCTCAATACAAGTTATATTTACCTGTTTAGGTGATAGTGGATTGTAAAAGCAAATTATATTAGTTGTTTATAAATAAATTAGTGCGCATCCCGTGCGATGCAAGAACGGGCTTTTCACTTATGACGTCTTCTAAAACTTTATATTAAACTAATTATTTATGTTTAACATCTCATTATTATAAGAAAAGAAATACAAAATATAAAAAATTATATATTTTTTTATTTTAAATACAAATCATGAGCATTGTTCGGGTGTGTATTAGTTGATATTAAATATTTATTATCTATATTAGTTCTAACTGTTTTTTTTTTTAATATATGTTCTTAAATGAAGTAGAACTCTAGCACAATTAGAATTAAATAGACCATATATGATTTATTTACTTATTTATTTTTTGTGTGTTTGGAATCAGACAAAATTTTTAGATTTTAATTAAATTTGTAATTTGTAACTATCATAACTGATATTATACGTTTAGTTCATGATACATGATGCTTAGTTATTTACAAGACAAAACATGAACTTTAGACTAGTTTATAAGTATATTATAATCTATTACTATATAATAAGGAGAAGAAAAATTATTTGGACAATTCGAAAAAAAACATTTCATTTTCCTGCTTCAGTATAATGTTTTTCCCGCTTCTTCATTTCGTTTTTACTCTATTTGAATTTATTTACATTATCCCGCCTATGCCACTTTTTCAATTTCAAAACATGATTCCAAAAAATCTCCCCAATCACTATATTACCAATATATGCGGCTCAAATTTTGTTTTACTTTAAATAAAAAGATCACATAGAAGATTTTTTGTACACATTTCATATTATCTAATTTCCCTACCATCTACCACGCACTGAAAAAAAATTCAAAAGTCTTTCAAACCCAAAATCCAATTAGGCCAAAAATTCACTCACTCCATTAAAATTCGCCTCGATTAGGCACGAGCTCTCAATCAGCTTCAGAGTCGGGCTTCGATCGGGCCCGCTGTTTAAGTTTAGATACAGGTCGAACGAACCCTGCCGACCGTTTGACATGTCCCTGAAGACCGGCACCGGGATATTCGATTCTGTGACGGTGAAATTTGGCTCTGTCAGCGGTGGAAGCCCCAAGTTTCTGCTTCACTTCAAGTCAAAATATTGAGATTTTTCTATTCGGAGGTCCATGGGATCGATGTATTTGGCGGTGGAGGCAGAGACTATGAGAAGAGAGACGGAGATGGCGACGACCGTTTTGTCTATTTGGTTTTCTCTTTCCCTTGAATCCCTTGATTGTTGATCTATGCTTCCTGTCCTGTGAAGCTCATGCGCCAAAAAAAAAGAAAAAAGTAAATCGAGATTAGAACTATCATTAGACTATGATTATATAATGATTTTTTTCAAAAAAAAAATTTGAAACTGATTCAACAAAATTTGTTGGGATAAGGTCGAGTTTGCAGAAAAAATTGATAAAACTAGACAACATGATGTTTGTTCGCAGAGTCTATAATATAATTATTTAATTTTAAAAAAAAAAAATTCAGAATAATGCTACAAACATTCGCATGCACCAGATCCATGTCTATTCTTCACGATCTTCATACGAACGGGCTTCCGTGTAGCAGGGATCGATTCAAGGGTAACCCGATAAAAACGGAACGTTTGTGACAAATTACTAACAATATACATTGATTTCGGTCATTTTTTATGTTTAGCTTACAAAAATTGGAGAGTATACTAAATTTTCTAAGTTTGGCGAAATTTCTGAAAATATATCGACCGAATATGGGGGAAGATTGTTGCGGCGTTCTGGAAAATGACCTAGGGCCTTCCTGAGAATTTATATGGATAACTCCTTTTTCAGCCGTCGGATTTAATGGGTTAATTTGAGTCGTTCGATCTGTAATTTTATAAATTGGGTCTGATTAATGTTACAATGATCGAGCTTCATACTAGGCCTACATTTTGGGCTAATAATTGACGTCTTAATGGACTTGATGGTTAAAAATTTTAGACCCATCCAGTTAGTTTACTCTTTAGTGTTAATCCATTTACATGTCATTGTATGATAAATGCAATTTAGTTAAAATTGTCCGTTTAAAATCTTTAATTAATTATAATATTTTGCATATAATTATTACTCAAGTACAATTTTTTTATATTATATTTATTTTTTCAATATACATATTGAACTTATATATAATTTTTTTAGTTAAACGAACTACACTACTAAACTTGGCAATCTTTTTTGAAAATTTTCAAAAAAATCCTGCCATAAAGCTTTAATTTTGAATTTTAAAAATATTTTAATTTTATTTTAGGATAATTTACATTTAGTATGAAAATAAAATAAACTATTAATTTTAGTATAAATAAAGATTCTCCCTTACTATATATTACAGTTGTAGCATTTCATATCTATTGCAATTAATATCACTTGCCTGCAACATCCCATACATGAAATTGATACAACTCAATATCTCTTACTATATAATACAATTTAGAAAAATTAAGAAAAAAAATACTCGCAAATCCTAGAATCCCTAAAAGGTTTAGCTACTAAACATATTCTCAAAACTCAAAATAAATATATTCATGAGTTCAATGAAGAAGAAAAAGAGAAAAGAAAGAAGAACTATTGTCGCCGTTAGTTCCCGGATCTTCAATCTTGACTTCCTCGAATCCCTCGTGTGTTTCATGCTTCCTCTAGGCCTCCAATGGTGTCAAAAGTCCCAAAAACGAGTTCCTAAGGCCTCTTTTATACTGTAGGGTCATTCAGGGTCGAAAAAGGGAAGAAAACGCATAAGAATCCTATTCCTCGCAGGTTTGGTCTGCCGTCACACGAGTCGTGTGACATGCCACACGAGTCGTGTGACTTTTCTCCAATTTTCGGCAAACTCCCAGACTCACACGAGCACTCACACGACCGGGTCACACGAGTCGTGTGAGGCCACACGACTCGTGTCCCAACCCACACGACTCGTGTGAAAATGCCGTAGCTGCATCTCTTATTTCTTCAACCCACACGACCCGTGTCACTATCCACACGAGTCGTGTGACCACTTCTGCACCCGTTTTCGTCGTTTTTCGTCCCGATTCCATCTCCAACGCATTTTCGGGCATATTTCCTGCAAAAACAACGACAAAAACACCTCTATCATAGTTTAATAAATAAAACGAAATGGTGCACAATCACACGATAATCATGGCCAAATATCACTATATATCACTCATAATGCATGAAAATATGATGAATATCAAATTTCAAAAATATTTTAATTTTATTTTAGGATAATTTACATTTAGTATGAAAATAAAATAAACTATTAATTTTAGTATAAATAAAGATTCTCCCTTACTATATATTACAGTTGTAGCATTTCATATCTATTGCAATTAATATCACTTGCCTGCAACATCCCATACATGAAATTGATACAACTCAATATCTCTTACTATATAATACAGTTTAGAAAAATTAAGAAAAAAGATCCGAAAGTGGAAAGTAATTTTTCCGCTTCTTTTTTCGATTTTTACCCTTTTCGGAGTTTTTATTTTTAAATTTTTGGTTAAATTCTGCCCATGCAAATTTGTTATGCGGATTAACTTTTTCAAAACTTTTGGATGCGATTTAAATGCACTACAGGTGAATCCTAAAATTATGAGAGTAATTCCAATTAAATAGGAATGTGTACATAAATTAAATAGGAATGTGTACATAAATCGTGTATATTAGCTGAATCCCAACAGTATAGGGGAAAGAGTCCAAACTAAATAGGAATGTGTACCATATTAAGATTTAATTTCTGTTTGTACACTTGCGTGTATGCTAAATAGAATGCCGAAAAAACAGATATAAGTTATACTATGTTTTCTGTTTACAAATAATAATAATCATTATATATGCATATATGGTTAATTTTTCTGTCTTGCTATTATATATTTTTTTTTCTATATGGTATCAAGTGTTTAGGGTAGATATATGGAAGTTATATATCGGCAGGCATGAGTCCTAAAGAATAAATATAAATATTGGTTTTTAATGAGTAACGTGTAGTAGGAAATATAATAAAAAAATATATATATAATTGTCTATCAATTGCTAAACAAATTTGAACATTATGTCTTTTACTCTATTTGAAATTCAAAGGTAAATTTTTAAATATATTCATTAATATTATTATTTATTTTTTTCTTATGTGATATATTCTAAATTTGGTTATTAGATTTTTAAATTCAAACATTTAAAGGAAAAGACCACGAACAGATTTTTTGGTTGTATTTCATTTTATCTTAACTTCCATATAATCACATTCCTAACAAACTAATAAGTATAATATTTTTTATCCACATTTATATAATCGGATTTCTTAAATATAATTAATATAGAATTTTAACTAATTAATCATTTGTATAACTTGATTTATCTCATTAACAAACTTGTCAATTTATTTTTGAAATTACAAAAATTTGGATGATTTTGATTTGTAAAAAAATAAGAAATAGCTTTACTTTAAAGTCTGGATTTTTTCCATTATTTTTTGTATATTAACAATCATATATTTGATAATTGATTAAAAAAGAAAAACTAAAACCGTAAGGTTTAATAATATTTTTTTAAAAAAAATATTATATAAAGAGAAGTGTTTAATAATATATATTTTTCATTGTTTGTATTTATTTTATTTCCATAATAGATGAGATGAGAAAAATATAAAAAATTATATTTAAAATAAAGTCTAAAAAAAAGTTTAAAATATGAGCTCTTCCATGCACTGCACAGGATATACACTAGTTTTTCATTGGTATGTTTAACATAATAAATAACATTGTCGATTAATTATTAAAATAGCTATATTTTAAATATTTGAGACAGTTTTAAGAAATAAAGTTGATGAGATCCACCGGTACAACTTGCTATGGCCGGTTTTTATTCCTTCAGTGGCATTAATCGCATGCATCAAGTGTAATATAAAAAAATTGATGTGTTAATTAGTGATTGGTCTTAAATTTGACGGAATGATTCCTTTGAATTAGCATAAAGGGACCTTAGTATTTTCCTAAAATATAATAATCAATTATTATTTTGGCACTTGATTTGCGGCTGACAAGAAAATCATTGACTCCATTAATTGGATACATTAAACACATTAGACACAATAAATGATTTACGCAACTTAAGTTTTTTATTCTTTTATTAACCGATTTATGTATCACGTTTTTAAGAGAGAGAAATGAAAACATGCATGGTTATTCACAGTAGTATATATTGCGTTTATTTTTAGTATATATTCAGTAAATATTGCAACATTTACACTCAACATTTTTAGTATATTTTTAATATCGCATCATGTAATAGTGTATATTAAGCGTATATTAAACGTTATATTCATTATATGTATACATTAAATTATAATGCGTTTATAGTTAGTATATATTCAATATATGTTGCAATAATCTTCTATTATACCAAAACAACAAAAAAACAACAAATTGTAGACGACAATCAGATAAAGTTATGTATATTAACAGTATATAAAACAAGTTTGAAATCGTACTCATGTACATATACTAAAAATATACTGTCGACCTTAACATATTCTAAAAACCAGTATATTTGTCGGGAACATATACAGAAAATATACTCATTGTATACAATCGACATAAAAGAAAATAAATCTATGTTGTCATTATATACAGAATATATACAAAAGATATACAAAAAACAAATGTTATAACATTGCGTTTATGTTAGTATACAAAAAACAAATGTTATAACAGATATTGCGTTTATGTTAGTATATATTCAGTGTATGTCGCAATGAAAAAAAATGTCTTCCATCAAAAAATTATATCTTCCTCTTTTTTTCTTCTTTTTTTCTTTTATAAATAAAAGTATATATATAATTTAAAAACATATTATAATAGACTACTTAATATAAAACCATACATATACACAACACCAACAAAAAACATTCAGTTTATGTTAAATATAAATTGATTTTATACATAAAAATTATGTCTCGCGATAAATTCCTTTATCATATACAAAAAGTATACTGAATATAAACCATACATATACAAAACAAAAAAATCAGTTTATACTTTGTCAAATTCGTTTTCTAATAAAAAAATCTTCTAATATACCCAACATAAACTATGAATAAAAACATTAAAAATGGAAAAAACGAAAATCCATTCACAAACTAATTGTACATAATTAATATACCAAACATAAACTAAGATGTACAATAATTGTACATATCCCTAAGATGTACATATACATATACTGTACAGTACCAGCAAGTGTCGGCTGGCATTTCGTTTGCTGCTTCTGAACCTTGGACAATTTTTCCCCGAGCACCAAATCCATCTGCGCACAATCGACGCGCATTCGATAGCTGCACAAACCCAAATGAAAATTGCAGTCTTATTAATCACAAAGCCACCGCCACCATCAAACCAAAAAAAATAAAAATAAAAAATCGCTTCCTTCTATTTTCACACTAGAGACAACAATCCAGATTAAACACCAGTTCAATAGCATCTCAATTAATTACACTGAATTTGAAAAACTCTGAATTATTTAAGCAAGCTAGTTTTCAATCAAGAAGATGAAAACAAAAGGATAAAGAACCACTCACGGAAAATCTCCAACAGTCGCAGATACTCGTTGCTACCGCCGATTACATGTGTAGAGGTTGATCCAACATGAACAGTGAGAATAATAAGGGTTTATTGATTTCTGGATTTTGATTTATTTGAAACCGGTGATGAAATTGAGATTTAGGGCAAACGGAGCGGAATTACAAAGCCTCGATCAATCCCAACCCTGATTGAAAGTGTCGAAGGCGGGGACTTCCATCAATCCCAACAGACGACCTGCCACTCATGAGCCGAAAGGGAGCCAAAATTTTCCAACAGGTTTTTCCAACCGCGGCCTTGTTGCAGGGGAATGACGACAGAGGTGATGATGGGGTCGTCGTTGGCGGTGGTGGTTTGCGCCGGCCGTGTTGAGGTGGCAATTGCGGAGAAGAATGAGATTCGACAGGCAGAGTGTAATTGCTCGGAGTATATTAGGAATTTTTGGGTTTTAATCGCCGTGGGGAGTGATTATGAGATATTAGGGATTAATTATCCTAATTAATTCATAACTGATTCACTTTCCATATTTAAATCATAATTAATATAAAGTCTGGTATATGTGTAAATATATTGGGGTGATTTTGTATTTTTACAAGTAAATATTAGTTAAGTGTAAATGTGTAATATAAAATATATTTGGTAGTATGGGGTGCAAATTCCTTACATCTATATCTATATATAAATAAAGAGGTTGTTGGAAAAATACATTAATAGAAAGTTTGACCAAATAAATATAATGTTTGACTTACTATTAATAGAAAGTTAAAAAAAAAAACACACGTGAATCTTAGTAACAAATTCTAAATCCTATTTTTTTTTGTAACAAGTTTAGAGATTCTTATGGCAAATTTGAATTCCAGTTTTTTCGTATCATATTTTATTTTTTTACCAAAATTTAAATCATATCTTTTTGGGTAATAAATTTGGAGATTCTTATGCAAAAAATGTGTCAATTATTTATGAAAATAATTCTAAATAATTGAATTTGAAGATTTAAAATCATTTATGCACCACACATTAGTTTGGAAATCCAACTAGAATTCCGGATCAATATTTTTATGTTATAATAGAATATTTTTTTTAAAATCATTTTTCTTGCAAATTTGTTCACGCGTTGCAGTATAAAATCTGCCCAACCAATTAAAATAGTTTGTTCACGCGTTTTATGCAAATTTATGCAAAGTTGATTAAAGAAATGAGTCAAAGCATTTGACTTAATTCTTTTAGTAATCTGATTTAAATTCAAAATTTGAATGACTTTTGATCTTCACGTGTTTAATATGTCTGATTTGCTAATTTTAAATTATTTGGTACATATTAAATATTCTCTTTTTCTGATACTTTTATGAATTCTTCTTTTAGTTGTACGACAAAAAAATTAATACTTAATTTTTAGATGATATATTATTAATTAGACTATAAAAATTAGGAAATTATATCTCAATGTTTATTCCAAAACTAATGTAGAATTTTTCTATAATCATTTTATTGTCAACTAAGTTAATAAATTGTTAGTTACATTATATATAATTGTGAAATTATTTTTATTTATTTTTTTACACATAAAATGGGTCGGGTCGGGACCGAGTAAAGCCCAACTTTGAAAATTCGGGTTACCTGTTTACCCAACGAAGATCCATTTACCCGTTGGGTAAAACCCGAACCCGAACCCAAAGTTCACTAACCAGTAATCGGTAACGGGTCGGGTTCGGATAGGGTGAATTATATGTGGGTTGGGTTCAAGTTTGCCAAAACCCGACCTAACCCGACCAGTTTACATCCCTAATGATGACTCGCCACCAAATCAAACCAAAAACAATGTCTACAAGAAAGTATTCAATAATTTATGAATTTCTTAATTTGTATGACCCGTTTGCATTTGTTACATATATTACATATATACCAAGTCTTTGAAATTTAATATTCAATATTAAAAAAGTTTTGGAAAAATTTATCATCCCGTGCATCGCACGGGCAACAACTAGTTACTCATTAAGAGAAATGGTCATATCCTCATAAAGTAGATATCAATCGAAGTGTATCCTCCATACTCAACAAAATTAAATCAAAAAGAATCCTTAATGATTGAGATAATTATTTTAGGTCTCACATCTCTAATTAAAATATGAATTAATTTTATGAGGTATATGAAATAACTACACATCAATCATATAATTATAATAGTTATTAATTAAGTGATGTATATAAATAATAATGTATGTAGGTCATTATAATATAGGAAAATGCTATCGTCCGTTACGGGACCATTTCGTTGGGATTTTTAACCGTTAAATGATCATGTAGATTAGTGTAACATGTGCATATAACGGTTAAAAATCCCAATGAATTTGTTCCGCGACGGGATTGTAGACTTACCCCATTATATAATGCAATATTAGAGTAATTAAATTACGCATTGATTCTAGAATTAATTTTGTGTAAATTACAAAATGAGTATTGTTTTAAATACCAAATGCGTAAACTAATTTTATGTAAATTACCAAATGACTACTGCATTATTAATTACATAAATTAATTCATATTTTGCATTATTAATTACGCATAATTAATTTTATGTAAATTACCAAATGAGTATTGTATTAAATTACAATATGCATAAAATAATTTTGCATAATTTTAAAATGTTTGACTTAGACTTACACACAATTAATCGCATAATTAATTATGCCTACATAAAATCTGAACTAATTTTGCATAGATTAATTTTTTCCTAGAGTACACCGTTGAGGTAATGGTGTCCGGAATGAGTCTCGCTTGGATCTGGCCTCAACAATCGAGGTAATGGTGTCCGGAATGAGTCTCGCCTGGATCTGGACAAGCCTTTGACCAGAACAGGGATCCCGACCATCGACCGGCTTATCTCAGACAGGAGGTGGTGTGTCTCAAACAGCTGGGCCTCCTTCTCCAGGGCCTCCTCATCCCCAAACCTGTTGCGCACGCAGATGTAGCCAAGGCCGATGCTGACTTTGTTCGATGTCACCTTCTTGAAGAAGCTGTCGCCACGGGGGAGGCTTATGCCAGCGAGGGACTTAAGGACACTTGATTTGCCGGCTGATTGATCTCCAATCACCACGATTGCCGAGTCGATCGACCATGTCGAGAAGGGGTGGTTGTAGGATGAGAAAATAGGGGCATCGTGGAAAACCGGTGGCGATGGTGGTGCCATGTGTTTGCCGGAGTTTTTCTGAAGATCAATTTCCGGTAAAGGTTTGTTACCCTCGAGAATATGAGGTGAAACGGCTGGGAGGCTGATGGGCTCCATTCGTCACCAATCACAATGGTGGTGATCAATCGACCAGGATGTATCACGAGTGGATGTCACGGACCAAATGGTTAGGTAGAAAATGCCGAACTTTTCTTTTCCTCCCTCTTTCAAACTTTTTTTTTTTTTNNNNTTTTTGGGTGGGGAGATGTAGAATAAATGGCTCCCATCTCCCAAGTTAATACTTTGAATTGAGGCTCACATCTTCTACTCTTATTGTGGATGGTGTGCTACCCTTCTAGAGTTGGTAGTGATTGTGTCTTTTACTTCTTTTCTACTTGAGCCTTGGGATGGGTCTCAAATAGCAGTACTACTGTTCTGTATGAGGGCCATAGAGGATGTTTTACTTCTTTTTGGCCCCTCTAACATACTGTGAAAGAGACAAAAAATTGTTTGGCTTAGTGTATGGTTATGAGTAGACTTAGTCAAAGAGGTTCAGTGTACTATTGAAGTGGTTATGAGTACATTGAGTAGGTGTAACAGCCACTAACAGGTGATATTTACATTTTCCGTTTACAGGAGAAAGACAAAAGCTGCATTTTACTAAAGGAATACAGGATGGAGTAGCTGTGTACATTTTGAAAAAAAAACTAGCTGTGTACTAAAGGAAGACAGGATGGAGCTAAGGATGGAGCTAACTGTGTACATTTTATGGTGGTTATGGAGGACCCAGAACCTATGGATTTTTGAAAAAAAAAACTACTACAGACAGGGAAGTTGTAAGGAAAGCACTTGAAGAATGGTGTGAATTTGGGAGAGCTAAAATTTCTAGACCAGGGGTAACTGATTTGGCAAGAACAAACCTAAAACAAGTAGGGCAAATTAGCTTATTTGTCAGTGCTTGTCTGATTCCAGGTATGGGGAGTGGTATTGGTGGAGTAGCTGTTGCAAAGGAACAGGGAAGCATATGCATGAAATGGCAGGCTTTTCTTCCTAACTGCTTTGAAGAATCAGAAGCAACTCTTCATGGTGTTCATCATGCTTTGTGGATTGCTTTTCTGAAGAACTGGAAGGAGCTTCAGGTGAGCCTTGATGATGAAGCTTCTGCATTGCACCTGAAGACCACTCATTGCTTTGCTGGTGTGAAGAAAAACATTGCTGATAATATTCTCATTTTAGCATACTTATTTGTATCATGTTCATTTCAGTTTTCTTCTTTGGACTTTTCCTGTGTAGCTTCTTCTTTAGCCCTTGAGGCTGTTTCATCTCGTTGTAGCCATGAATGGCATTGTTAATGCTTAGGTGTAAGGTTCTCTTACTTCTTTGCCTTTTTGTGATCAGTGGATCACCGATTGTAAGACGTTTTTCTCAGTTTTGTGAGTGAATATTATCTATCGTTCGACAAAAAAAAAAAAAAAAAAAAAAAAAAAAATACTAAAGGAATACATTTGGAACTATTATATTAACCACAAGTACAGCCAGTTGAACGTGCTTTCCATGAGTCTGAAGAATGATGGTATAAATATGGACTGTATATGAATCAATGTTGCAGATGTACTCAGTTGAGAATACAACTCATTAATGAAACACAATATATCAATGATGAAATCATGAAACTATAGCCAGCCATTCATATCTAATTTACTAAATAGTAAATAAAAAATGTAAGTACTTATGTAATAAACCCTTAGCCCTCGGATTCTCCTGAATAATACTCATCCTCATTAACTCATCATTCGTTTAACCTGGCCAACTTTTTATGTCCTGAGTGGCTAAGAAGTGAAAAGCTTCAATCGTTAGTTGCTTCAACTCCCTTTCAGACGTTGAGAAAACGTTACACATTTAATATGCACAGGAAGAGGGCAGAAACAGAATGGGAATCTGGAAAATCAAAAAAGAGGAATATGAATCACAATCAAAATTAACTTCTCCCTTTACCCACACCTTATAAATACCACAATCCCCTTAGACAGAGCTCTCATCAATTAATCATTACCAAGAAAAAAAAAAGCAGTCACTCAGTCACTCTCACTCACTCTCACTAAACAAGCAAAACATGGTTGGCAGGAACAAAAGGAGCGTTCTTGGAAGCAAGACAAACTCCTCCAACACCACCACCATAGTCGAATATCGCCCAGAACACGGAGCCATCAACGCTCCAATCGTCTCGTCCTACAACGACCGAATCCGCCCATTGCTCGACGCAGTCGACCGTCTCCGCCACCTCAAAATCATGCAGGAAGGCATCCAGCTCCCGACCATCGTGGTCGTTGGCGACCAGTCCTCCGGCAAATCGAGCGTTCTCGAGTCCCTCGCCGGCATCAGCCTCCCCCGCGGCCAGGGCATATGCACCCGCGTCCCCCTAATCATGCGTCTCCAGCACCACCCCAGCCCCGAACCCGAGCTCTTCCTAGAATACGCCAACCGCGTAGTCCCCACCGATGAAGCTCGTGTCTCGGACGACATCGTCATCGCCACCGACCAAGTCGCCGGCACCGGCAAGGGGATCTCCAACGAACCCGTCACCCTCGTCGTGAAAAAGCACGGCGTGCCCGACCTCACCATGGTCGACCTGCCCGGGATCACTCGCGTGCCCGTCCACGGCCAGCCGGACGACATCTACGAGCAGATCTCCAAGATCATCAAGGAGTTCATCACGCCAGACGAGAGCATCATCTTAAACGTCCTCTCCGCCAGCGTGGACTTCACGACGTGCGAGTCCATCCGCATGTCCCAGCAGGTCGACCGTACGGGACAGAGGACGTTAGCCGTCGTGACCAAGGCCGACAAGGCCCCTGAAGGGCTGCTCGAGAAGGTGACCTCGGATGACGTCAGCATCGGCCTTGGATACGTCTGCGTGCGCAACCGAGTCGGGGACGAGACGTATGAGAAGGCCCGGGAGAAGGAAGCCGAGCTATTCGAGACGCACCACCTCTTGTCTGGGATAAGCCGATCGATGGTCGGGATTCCTGTCCTGGCACAAAGGCTTGTACAGATCCAGGCAAGCCTCATCGTCAAGTGCCTGCCTGACATTGTAAGGAAAGTCAACGACAGGCTGTCGTCCAACATGGACGAGTTGAGTAAACTGCCGCGGAGCATGAACTCGATTGTCGAGGCCATGACGGCCTTCGTCCAGATTCTAGGCAATGCTAAAGAGTCCCTCAAAAAGATTCTGCTGAGGGGAGAGTTTGAAGAGTACCCAGATGAGATGGAGATGCACTGCACGGCCCGCCTGGCTGAGATGCTCAACGCCTACTCTGAAGAAATCCAGGCCAAGTGCTCCCAAAATGAAACGAAGGACAAGTTTTTGCTCGATGAGATTAGTGTGTTGGAGGAGACGAAAGCCATCGGGCTCCCGAACTTTCTTCCAAGGACAGCTTTTCTCACACTGCTGCAGAGAAAAGTGAAAAATGTGTCATTCACGCCGTTTGAGTTTGTTGACAAAACGTGGGCCTACATCGAGAACGTGGTCGTCTCGGTTCTGACGAAGCACTCGGACAACTACCCGCAGCTGATGTCATCCACGAAGCGGGCTGCTCAGAACTTGTTGGCCATGAAGAAGAAGCAATCGGAGGATTGGGTAGTGGATGTGGTTGAGATGGAGAAGATGACGGACTACACTTGCAATCCCGAGTATGTGGATTTGTGGAGCAAGCTCATGGCCCACAACAACACGTTTGTGGAGATTCTGACCGACAACTCGAAGCCGACGGAGATGACCATTGCTGGATATGGGAATGTCGATGTTTTGCATTTGAGGGGTCGGGCAGAGGTCGTGCAGGAGGCGTTTGACCTCAAAATGAGACTGACGGCCTACTGGAAGATTGTTTTGAGAAGGCTGGTTGACTGCATGGCCTTGCATTTGCTGTTTAGTATACAGAATCTGGTGAACAAGGAAATGGAGGCGGAGATTATTAATGAAGTAATTGGTCCGGAAGGGAAGGGGCTGGAGAGAATGCTGGAGGAGTCACCTGCAGTGGCCGAAAAACGCAAGAGGCTCAATAATAGTGTCAAATTGCTCAAAGAGTCTAAGGATGTGGTGGCCAAGATCATCGATAATATTTCTGGTATTAGTATGTGACTGGTTTGAATTTCGTTTTCTAGTTATGGTTAATATTTCTGGTATTAGTATGTGATTGTTTGAATTTCGTTTTCTAGTTATGGTTAGTATTTCTGGTATTAGTATGTGAGTGGTTTGAATTTCGTTTTCTAGTGACGGTTAATATTTCTGGTATTAGTATGCGATGGTTTGAATTTCGTTTTCTAGTGATGGTTTGATGTTCGTTTTCTAGTGATGTTTTGTTTTTCTCTTTTTATTTCTTTTTGGTTAATATCAAGCCTTCGAATGTCAAACACCATGGCCTTACCCGCATCTTGACTTGACGTTCACCTTTGAGCATTGTCCAGCAGTGATCTTTCAAATTTACTAGCACTCATTTTGGGTGCATTACAAGAGTCCATTCAACAATTACCACTCCTGACCCTGATTTTGTTAAAAACAAGCATATCAGAGGCGCAACTTAAATAACTGCATTTTCCTTAGTAGACAAAACATTCCGGAAAATAAATCTAAAAGATAATTTGATTGAGTCAAACACAAGAATTAGGTTAAAAGCAGCAAAGTTAAATCTCCTCCGCAAAGTATGGACACATTGTTTGGTAAATGCTTATGAGCTATTGAAACAGACGGATACTGTTAAACAAACTATGCAATGGATTTCTGTATCAGTCACTGCAAATGAATTATACCATCGCCAATTGTTGCAACAAGAAGCCATTGCCTCAACTTATGACGACATCAAGGTTGCCGTACAAGTCTATTTACAACAGAGTCAAGTGAATCGACGTGCCTCCTGAGTATTTTTCTATTTACTTCATTAAGGTAACACGCAAATTATAAGGTTGGACCCCCTTCAATATAAGATAAGAGTGATACCTTCTTTTACAGTAGTTGGGGGAGAAAGATAGAACTATGCCTAGAAACATTCCTACATAGAGAAGTTCAGGCACAAAGGCAGCAAAAAGATAGAATAAAGAAAGGATACAACTGTGTGGCAAGTGCGTCTATTCCTTTCATTTCTTCATTTAGTCTGCAACAAGAAATTCCCAGAAAAACAAACAATGACATGTACGAAGAAAGTTGAAGATATATGAACAATATCGCGACTAAGGAGATATGTGGACCCTAAGCTCAGAACATGATATTAAAGTATCAAAGAATATGTTCTACCAGCAGCTCAGGAAATACCATAACTACATCACTCAAAACTGGCGGTGCACTAAGTTACACAGTACCTAACACAAAATATATATGTGGATTTTACTTTTCTCCAGAAATGAAACATGCAAGTGTGCAACTCAGCTGGCTTTGCAGTAGGTATAATGTAGTTTTGTTCACAATAATGACCATGAATCAAAACATTTCCTTTCAGCAGCACATTTTTTGTTAAATTTCCAGCTATCAGTAACTTATATCCTTGCCATATCAATCACACTATAAATAGTTTAACAACACCAGCAAAAGTGGAACGTACTACTTTGTCATTGCCACCATAGTGACAGAATAAGGCGGGGACTCATTTTTCAAAATTTTAACTTCTAACTTATCTACTGAAGTCAACAAGAAGTGCCTACTTGCCAGCTGGCTTTTTTTCCGAGTGCATGTTGGTAATTAATTGAATGGAAAAATGAAAACAGTGTTAAGAAAAATATTCATATATAAATTTTTTGCATATAACCAACGCTCGTCTCATCCAAACTGTGTCCAGAGCATATATTTGCAAGATTTTGGATCAGACTTAATTTAAATAATTAAGATACAAGTAATCGGTTACCTGCATAGAATTTAATGAAAAGAGTACTAATTTCCAAACATCAGAAAAGACAAATATACAAACCTCAGACAAGAGTTTATGTATCTGTTCCCCTTTGTTGATGCATCAAGCACTGCAACATAACAAGTAATACTGATGCCCAATTCTCCATAAACATTATATCAACTATGCATGTAAGGGAAAGAAGAACAGCGACAGAATTTGAATCCCTCACATTCGAAAGTAAGACAGTCATGGCTTAGATTTTTAACTATAATCAAAGGAGCTTAATATAATCAATTCCTGCCAGAACAAAGGCCGGTGGAAAAAAAAAAATTGAAAATTATGCATAACTAAAATAATCTGATACAGGTTCCTTTTAACAAGGAGTTTAGGATCCCCAAGCTAAACCTTTTTTGATTTAGTACAGAATTACACCGAGAAAAAAGAAGTTTAACTTACCACACTCTTGAAGGCGACCAGCTGCATCACTGAAGCAGTTCATGTGATCAACTGTAGAGCTGGTGGCCTATAAATTAAGGAATACTAAATATAATATCTAAACAAGGATCCCAATAATCTGAAATCAGGTTAACATAATAGAAAGATATATTCATCAAAACAGCAACATTTTATTGCACATAAAAAGTACTGAAAGCACTATTTCACTCTGAGCGAGTCATCAGCCAAAAGTTCTCAAAATAACCAATGTGAATATCACTTGGATTGACGCTGTAAATGTAAAAAACACAAAGTATAAAGAATTTCAGAAAGTAGAGACCTCGGAAAGTGATGAGCGGAGAGAAGCAAATAGAGAAGAGTAGCTCTCTGCGATCGCAATAGAATCTCTCTCCACCGCTTCCAGAGCTTTCAGCATGTCCTTCCGGCGAACGGACGGCTCCGATTGACCCGAATCATCGCCGTTTGCGGCGTCTGCATCTTTCCGGCTCTCAACACCGTCCACAGGGAATGTCGAGCGCTGATCGGCGACCGCCTCTGAGCTGACATTCATCATTTCTTCCTTCTCCATATGTAAGCTGGGACTCGATTGCTTTGCGAGGGTTGGCTTTTGGGGGGGTTGGAGCTTGTTCGTTGTATTCGGTTTTTGTTTTTTGTTTCTCTATAGTACATTGTTTTCTTTTTTCTTAGAGATAAAAAAGTAAAAAAAAATAAATAAATAAATAAAAAAAACCAACCAAATATATACATACATGGTCAAAGGGTGACTTTTTTTATTTAAAAAAATAAATATATACATTTACCATCCGAAAAACAGGCATTAAACCGACTCAAACAACTATACAACTGTTTATGGCTGATTGAATATAAGTTATTTTGTTTTTGATTGATTTGTTGGTTAATTAAAATTAATTTAGAAAAAAATGATGGAACAAAGTTTGAGTAATATTTGAGCTTGTATTAAAATATTATTTAAAATATAATGTCAAAGTTAGTTTGATGTAAAAGTAAGAGAGTTATGATTGAAAGTGATAAATTGTTAAAATTATATGAATAGATGAATAATGAATTAAAATTGATGTGATATGCAGGATGATTAATTGATATTATTAAATTATATTGATAATGAAATTTTGGATGAGTTAGAGAATTGTGCCTGTGAAGTAAACAATGAATGTTCTCTTAAATGCAGAAGCAGTTTGATATAGGATATAATACTGTCTCGAACCCCTCAAAGGAACCGAGCAACCTGGTCAGGTTAATAAAGCAGTTTGACTCACGTTGACCAAGAAATAATAATTGAACCAACAGTGGCACACTAAGAAGGGGTGCAGTTATTAGATAAGCCCATACACGACTAGACCTTGAAAGATCGAGAGGTCAAATCGACCACGCTCTACCTAATGATAGAGGAGTCGAAGAGGACCATGTTCTACTAGGACAGAAGTTCGACCTGGTGACGTGGACTTGGCCTCTCAAAGGGACAAAATTGTATCTATCTGGACAACCGCACTATATGAAAATTAGACCACGCGTCACAATAAGATTGGATCGTCTGCACCCTTGACACCTGACAACCTGAGGCATTGCAGGCGCTGCAGGTCGTACGGACAAGCAGCAATGGCAGCTGGTCAACTCTCCGGGCAGACTTGAGGAACAAGACACCACCCCAAGTTGATGTCATAAATCACAATATGTTGAATTAAACTTCAGCAATATAAAATTGATATTCGCTAAATATAATTGTCATTTTTATAACATTTTCATTTATAATCTTGCATGTCATTTGCATGTCAAATCAATTTTGAAACTTTGACAAAATATAATCAATCTTAGTCATTGTCACGCTTAATTAAATTCTAATAAATCATTACAATTGAACTCTTCAGCCACGCTTTCATTATGATGTAAATGCATTTGGAAAAATAGGGCTCTTATGGTCATACATCATCAACATAATTCTTTGAATAATCAATAATGTTATAATAGCATTTCCAACATTATTTTCCTAACTATTGCCAAGTCCAACTGTTTTTTTGCCTATGAACTGCACATAAAAAGGTTGTAAGCAAGAAAATATATTTGGTAAAACATATAATTTTTTAAGTTTTTCTCATCAGCTTTCAATGTCAATCACCATCTTCACAACCACATTTTTCTCCTTTGATTCCGTACAAAGGCAACTCCATTAGCCCAGAGCTGTTTTTCTATATCTGTTTTCTTTTTTTTTTTCTCTTCCTTTTCCTTGGAAAATCCCGGAGAAAATAGTTGGGGAAATTAGGGAGGTTGAAGAGCAAAATAGAAAAGGAGTTTTGAAATTTTATCTGCAGCAAAAGTGGAGCTTGGCGATTTGTTTGATCCGATATCTATCTGCATTGTGGATATACACAGGTTCTTACATTGATTATGCGGATTTTTTAGGGTTTTGAATCAGTTAGGAGAAATAAAGGTTGTTTTTTTATCCTTGCGTGTTGTATATTCCCCTTTTGGTATAAACTATTTTAAATCCGCGTTTTTTGACCAATGTAGGATTTGTGGGGTTTGGAATTGAAATGCGAGGAACAACTCTTTTTTCTTGACTTTTATTGAAAATCAAATTCGTCTGGCCGTAGCAAAATTTTATATTTTGGATGGATTGCACTATTGTACTTGATTCTCATTTAACTTGCAGCTGAGGGTTTATATTTCTTATCACCTTTCCAATTGCTTTGCAGGTCGTCATCTAATTCTTGAAATGCTGTGCAGTTTTGTTTAAAGTGTATCTAGATCTGCTTGCATGCATTACAGATTTTATTATGACATTTAGTGGCTCCTATAGTTGCCTGCCTCTATGGAATGATTCCTCCACAAAGCGCTGAGTATGTAACCCATAAAAATAACTGGAGAACTGGAAAGCTATGCAGTGTATTTTATCTTATCTTAACAAAGTTGGGCATTCAAATGATACGAATCTGGCTGGCTTATCTTTGGCTTTTGTAGTTTGAAATCATTGTGGTGTGTGGTTGTGTTTGCTAATTATTTTAATCTGTTCTCTAAATTATTCGGCTTATCCCTCTTCAGATCTTAGTTTTTTGTGTTCCTCCTAGAGATTATAGGCTACCTTGTGCATTGCTCCCTGCTTTGGTTGGACTAATTATTTATTATTACCTTTCAAATTTATTTTCATCTCATAATTATTTTTATAAATGAGCTTTATTTGAATAATGAAATTTCAGTTCTGTATGGATTGTTGAACTTTACAGGCACTTGTCAAATTTGTAATGGATCCACAGTCAGATACTCATGTGAGCGAAAATGGGGAGTTGGGTGGTTTAAGTGAAGTTCGCAACGGCAGCGTTTCTGGCAGGATAGAAGCTTTTAATTGTCTTGCTGGAGGTAAAACCCATCTATTATGTCTCCTTTCTATCGAACTTTTAAAATGTTCTCCGCCCCTACCCCCCCTCTCTCTCCGAGGCACTGAAAATAAAGAAAACTATTATATTATATGTTCCACTTGCCTACCTGCTACATGACCTCAAGAAAAATGGACAGGCTGATTTTGTGATGGAACATGGAAGTGTAAAGCTTCAAGTCTGCTAAAATTTGCATAAAATACTTCTTTCCTCCTGCATTAACTACTTAATGGTTATAAAGTTCTGGTATGCGACATCTCTAGGTTTCAGTTTACTTTCCCAAAACTAATGACTTCACATGAAACATCATCTCTACATATGCTTAACTATATGCCAATCTTGTATCATAAAATGCTGGTGCAGGTTGCGAAAACTTCTCTTCAGTTCTTTTATTTATGGTTCTCTATGAAAATTCCTCACTTGAACTTGGTGAGGATCATGGCTAGTTCATATGCTGCTCTCATTTGATGGATGTCAGTAATTTGGCTTCTATATCTTACATCCCGATTATCTGAATTTAGCACCTATTGATCATGTAGGGAATAATAACTCTGATGTCCTCCAGCCAAAGCGTGGTCATTGTGGAGATGTCCCTGCTTCTAAGATTACTGAGCTAATGAAACTGGGTAATTTGGAGGTATATATTCAATCACCCCCAGACAAGTAAATACATTACTAAAACACGAATTCATAGTTATTTTCTTATGCTTGACGTGTTTGTATGCTTTAAATTGTGCCTTCTTATGCAGAATGCCTCTACACATTCACTTTTTGGCGTGGTCAATAAAGTTCTGAATGAAAGTATTGAGAGAAATGGGGACATAACTCTGGTACATGACAATGAAAACATACTTACAAAATACCATCATTATGGAGTTTAGGAAATGATACAGTATATCTTCACATCGTTGCTCAATTATTCTGAACAACATTTTTGATTGCTGTGCTGTGATACTTTTTCTTTTTTCACTTAGCGTGTCGCATCTGTGCTGAAATTGGTCGTGCAAGAAATTGAGCAGCGGGTTTCAAAACATGCAGACAATATGAAGAAGGTAATATATCATCAGCTGTTAATTATAAGCTTATTTTCCTCCAACGTAGGCTAAGATTTTTAATTCTCCATCATGGTAATGTACAGCAAAGCAACCTGTACAAGTCGCGTGAAGACAGGTATCATACAAAGATCAGAGCATTAGAAACTCTTGCAACTGGAACTAGTGAAGAAAATGAGGTATAATGGTGGTTGTGTAGACTTCAGATGTGAAATTTTCATTTTTCCCTTTTTATTGGGTTGTTAAGTTTTAATTTGTCGTTTCTTGCAGGTTGTCATGAACCAGCTTCAACAGATGAAGGTAAATTCCTTAATGAAGGGAATAAATCTTTAATCAATTATGCATTGTGGTGTTTTGATATTATGAAGTAACAACGGTGGGAGTCGAATTCAGAAGATACTCATATAATAGGAAGTTGGTCCACTTGTTGTTTCCCCTCATTAAATATCATCTATTTCTGTCTTTTTATTCAATTGCTAGATTTTAGGTGAAACTGCATAATTGCAAATAACTTTGGAATGCTTCCCCCTGTTATGTTAATTTACTTTTCGAACTCGGTGAAATTTCATTTTAGCGTAGTCTGTTTAATGTGGCATAATGTCTTGTATGGACCTAATAATCACACAGGATCTTTGTCGTCCTATTTTAGTCGAATTTCAATCATGAAGCCTTTGTTTCCTCTTATCATATGTCTCATAAGAGTATTTATATCGTAGGCTATTTGTCAACATAAGCACTACTGATTTTTATTGATATCATTGCTGGTTATTAAAACAAGAGGATACGCTGATATATGTTTAGTTTGAAGATTGTTCTTGTATTCTTTATGTTTTACAACTGGCCAGGCTGAGAAGACTAAAATTGAGGAGGAGAAGAAGCTTGAGCAGCAGAATTTAATTAAAATGAGGAAAGAAAAGGACAGCTGTGTGAGTCAAATTTTGTCGCTTAATGAAGAGCTCGCGTTAGCCAAAAAGTCGTTTGAGAAGGATCTTCTTCAGTTGGAAGCTAAGGCTGAGGATACAAAAGAAAAACTACAAAAGAAAATACTGGAACTTGAGTGCCTTCTGGCTAATTCAAATAAGAAGGTTAAAGAGCTCGAGGAATTTTCAGAATCCAAATTTTTGCGATGGAAAAGAAAAGAACAGGGTTACAGGCACTTCATTGATTCTCAATCTGGATCCATACGGGTGCGTACTTAAAACTGTAATGATTTACATCAAACTTAGGCCATATTACTGATGCTTTCTTTTATGAATTTTACCAGGAACTAAGATCAGCATCTCAGTCCATAAAGCAAGAGGTCTCAAAGATCAAGGATTTCTATGCTGAAGAGTTTTATCGTTTTGGTTAGATATTGAAACTCTTTAGCCTTTTCAACTTCTGAGATCAGTTGATTCTATGTCACTCAGCTTTGTTTTGTTGACACCGGTCAGGTCTGAATATCAAAGGCTTGATCGACGCTGCACAAAATTATCATAGCGTGCTTGAAGAAAACCGGAAATTATATAATGAGGTCCAAGATTTGAAAGGTCAGTGACTTGCATGTGGTTAATATTTATCAGCAAATATATTTTCTCAAACGGCGCAATGCACCTTGGGTCGCTACGGAAACAGCCTCCTTGTATAATTACAAGGGTAAGGTCTGGGTACAACTGACCCCCCAAACCCCAACCAGTTGGGAATATACTGGGTATGTTGTTGTTGTATATTTTCTCATCTGTATTGCTTTATTTTTCCAGGAAACATAAGAGTTTATTGTCGTATAAGGCCATTCCTATCAGGACAAAATGGAAAACAAACAACCATGCAGTATATCGGTGAGAATGGAGAATTGGTTGTTATGAACCCCTCAAAACCAGGAAAAGATAGTCACCGTCTTTTCAAATTCAACAAGGTCTTTAGTCCTTCAGCCACCCAAGGTTTCTATTCTGACTGGAACGTAATAACAAATTTCATGTTTGATGTCTAGTCACTTATTGTACTCTCTCCCTCTCTCTCCTCTACATATAAATACGCTAGTATAGTCTTTTATTCTACTGTTATGTTTGTTGCCTGAAATCCTTTTTGTCTCCAGAGGATGTTTTCCGAGACACTCAACCATTAATCAGGTCCGTCCTTGACGGGTATAATGTCTGCATATTTGCTTATGGTCAAACTGGTTCAGGGAAAACTTACACAATGGTAAGATTATAGTTTAGAATTAGTTGAAGAATTATCTTGACCTTGTTATAATGCTAGTGCTATTCACAAATGTTTCCAGACTGGACCGGATGTGTCATCAGTCGTTGACTGGGGAGTCAACTATAGAGCACTGAACGACCTCTTCAACATCTCCCAGACAAGACATAGCTCCATTGAGTATGAGATTTGTGTCCAAATGGTTGAAATATATAACGAACAAGTGCGAGACTTACTCTGCAATGGCAGTTCTCAGAAGAGATATCCTTTTAAATTCACTGTCATTGTGTTTATCACAGCATGTCTTTCCTATCCTCACCTTGAACATAATAACATCACTGCCTCTACTCTTGTGTATGTGTGAGTGTTTTCTTTGATTGGAATTTGGAAGTGGGTACTTCTCATTGTTTTCTTTGACTTGCACACACTTGGGATCTGGAGTATTTCCCAACCAAATGGGTTAGCTGTGCCTGATGCTAGCTTGCACCCTGTTAAATCAACAACTGATGTATTAGAGCTGATGAATGTTGGATTAATGAATCGGGCTGTAGGTGCCACTGCTCTGAATGAAAGAAGTAGTCGATCCCACAGGTTTTCTATATTATTTTCTTTCAGTTTCATTATTTTACAATGTTTCCTCTAACTGAACTTTGATTCTATCTCTTATGAGGTAGTATCCTTACTGTTCACGTCCGCGGCTTGGATTTGGAGACAAATTCTGTTTTACGCGGCTGTCTTCATTTAGTTGATCTGGCTGGGAGTGAAAGAGTCGACCGATCTGAAGCAACAGGCGATAGATTGCGTGAAGCACAGCATATAAACAAATCTCTGTCGGCTTTGGGTGATGTGATTTTTGCGCTGGCTCAGAAAAGTGCCCACGTGCCGTACAGAAATAGTAAATTGACTCAAGTTCTTCAGAGCTCTTTAGGTAATTAGTACATCTTGAAGCATTAAATACACTCTTTTTTTTTTCAATGGAGACATTTTTTATTTTTTATTTCTTTTTTCGCCGTTTGTTTAGATTAACATGTTATTCTTGAGCTCTCATGGCTTTCGGTTGGCTGATGTTGCAGGTGGCCAAGCAAAGACTCTCATGTTTGTACAGCTCAATCCAGATGTAGAGTCATTCTCAGAGACTATAAGTACCTTGAAGTTTGCAGAGAGAGTTTCTGGTGTTGAGTTGGGTGCCGCCCGAAGTAACAAGGAGGGTAGGGGTGTCAGGGAGCTCATGGAACAGGTTATTATTGTATCTTGTACTGTTGTTGATTGTTCTATACCTTCTTTTTTGCCCTTTTTGGCTAAAATTTGCTATTTAAATTTTGAAGTATCATCTTTATTTGTGACACTTGTCTTCTCCCTTTAGTCGCTTGGTTCAAATTTTGTACTGCCTTGTGCTAATTATGACTTTGGTTTTGGTTGCACCCTACGTCTTTAGATTTCATAAGTGAGAATTATACAGATATATTTCATGGAAGCGTTTATCCAATATAAATATGTACTGTATAATATGCCTTGTTCTCAAGCTTCCCAAAATTCTAATATTTTTTTTCTGTTTAAAAAGACAAGTTTTTGTACTTAAGCAAAGATTAAATCACAGCTACACCCAAGAAACTCAAGCAAAATCTTCAAACACATGTTAATCTTGCAGGTAGCTTCCCTAAAAGACACTGTTGCCAAGAAGGATGAAGAGATTGACCGATTACGGTCCCACAAAACTAACGGAAGCACCGAACGACTCTCTTCTCTGAGCTCAGCAGTGTATGGATCATCTGCCTCCCCAAGAAGGCATTCCATAGGCGGGGCCCGGCCTACCCAGAGGCCATCAGCCGCGAAAGATGCTTCCGGAAGAGTCCCCTCCGATTTGGACAACAGCTCTGAGTATAGCGACAAGCACTCTGAGGCCGGGTCCCAGCAGTCGATGGATGATTTTAGGCACCACAAGGATTTCTTCCGACAGTCGAGACTTGCTGCTGTGGGTGGCGAGAAGCTTCCCGAGGACAATGGTTTGAAGTTGGAAGTTGCGGGGCAAAATGGTCCGGATGAGGATGTTGAGCTTTTGGGGCTTGGAGATGGTGATTCGGATGAGAGGCTGAGTGATATTTCAGATGGAGTTCTTTCTATGGGGACGGAGACTGACGGCTCTATTAACAGTATTGTCGAGTATACGCTTTTCCCGGAGACTGCCAAGCCACCTCCTGAGTTAATT